CAATTAGCATGCTGACTACAGGAATGTCCACCAGAGCTGTTGCCAGAGAATTTAATGTTCATTTCTCTACCTTAAGCCGCCTCCAACGTCATTTTAGAGAATTTGGAAGTACCTCCAACAGGCATCACAACTGCAGACCACGTGTATGACATCGTGTGTGTGAGCGGTTTGCTGATATCAATATTGTAAACAGAGTGCCCAATAGTGGCGGTGGGGTTATGGTATGGGCAGGCACAAGCTTTGGACAACGAACACAATTGCATTTTATCAATGGCAATTTGAATGCACAGAGATACCGTGACGAGATCCTGAGGCCCATTGTCGCGCCATTCATCTGCCGCCATCACCCCATGTTTCAGCATGATAATGCATGGCCCCATGTCGCAAGGATCTTTACACAATTCCTGGAAGCTGAAAATGTCCCAGTTCTTCCACGGCCTGCATACTCACCAGACATGTCACCCATTGAGCATGTTTGGGATGCTCTGGATCGACGTGTACGACAGCATGTTCCAGTTCCCGCTAATATCCAGCATTTTTTGCACAGCCATTGAAGAGGAGTGGGACAACATTCCACAGGCCACAATCAACAGCCTGATCAACTCTATGCGAAGGAGATGTCGCGCTGCATGAAGTAAATGGTGGTCACACCAGATACTGACTGGTTTTCTGATCCACGCCCCTACTTTTTATTTTTTAAGGTATCTGTGACCAACAGATGCATGTCTGTATTCCCTGTCGTGTGAAATCCATAGATTAGGAACTAATTAATTCATTTCAATTGACTGATTTGCTCATATGAACTATAACTCAGTAAAATCTTTGAAGTTGTTGCATATTGAGTTTATATGAGTGAATAAAGGGAGGGAGAAGTCATTAATGAAGGAAAAAAAGAGAGGGAGCGAGAAGGTGGGAAAAGGAGAGAGAGGAGGAGAGTGAGGGTGAAAAAGGGAGAGAGGAGGAGAGTGAGGGTGGAAAAGGAGAGAGAGGAGGAGAGTGAGGGTGGGAAAGGAGAGAGAGGAGGAGAGTGAGGGTGGAAAGGAGAGAGTGGAGGAGAGTGAGGGTGGGAATAGGAGAGTGAGGAGGAGAGTGAGGGTGGAAAAAGGAGAGAGAGGAGGAGAGTGAGGGTGGGAAAAGGGGAGAGAGGAGGTGAGTGAGGGTGGGAAAAGGGGAGTGAGGAGGAGAGTGAGGGTGGAAAAAGGAGAGAGAGGAGGAGAGTGAGGGTGGGAAAAGGGGAGAGAGGAGGTGAGTGAGGGTGGGAAAAGGGGAGAGAGGAGGAGAGTGAGGATAGGAAAAGGAGAGAGAGGAGGAGAGTGAGGGTGGGAAAAGGAGAGAGAGGAGGAGAGTGAGGGTGGGAAAAGGAGAGAGAGTAGGAGAGTGAGGGTGGAAAGGAGAGAGAGGAGGAGAGTGAGGGTGGAAAAAGGAGAGAGAGAAGGAGAGTGAGGGTGGGAAAAGGAGAGAGAGGAGGAGAGTGAGGGTGGGAAAAGGAGAGAGAGTAGGAGAGTGAGGGTGGAAAGGAGAGAGAGGAGGAGAGTGAGGGTGGAAAAAGGAGAGAGAGAAGGAGAGTGAGGGTGGGAAAAGGAGAGAGAGGAGGAGAGTGAGGGTAGGAAAAGGAGAGAGCGGAGGAGAGTGAGGGTGGAAAATGAGTCAGGTGTGATCACACAGTGACTACAGCTTCTTTCCTCAACTGACACATTGGGGCTCTGAAGTCAGCTGATGAGTTTTAGAGACCCTGTGGAGAAAGAAACACAGTTCTTATTCTGACTGGTGACGACCATGAAGGCTATAAAGCAGGTCAATCAGAATAGGTGCTTCAGGCGGTGTGTATCTTTTGTGTGCGCCCATACGTGCGAGAGACCAAGATACATATAGCTGCCAAAGGTTGATGTATTCAGCTATTCAGATTGTATGTTGAATGTGGCTTTCAAAACAGATGATATACTGAGCTATCAAAACACAATATTGAGCTATCAAAACACATATATTGAGCTATCAAAACATGATATATTGAGCTATCAAAACACATTATATATTGAGCTATCAATACATGATATATTGAGCTATCAAATCACATGATATATTGAGCTATCAAAACACATTATATATTGAGCTATCAAAACATGATATATTGAGCTATCAAAACATGATATATTGAGCTATCAAAATACATTATATATTGAGCTATCAAATCACATGATATATTGAGCTATCAGAATGAGTGATGTCGGAGATCGTATGTGTTGCGTGAATCTATCAAAGTGTGTGTAAGGTGTTAATATTCAGATCTGTAGAGAACGCATGAAGAGGTTTACTGGTAGAATTTTAAACGCGACTGGTGTAGTCAGTATTCAGACTGAGTAATATTCTACTCTCTAGACTACAGAAATGTCTTAGGGTGTTTTCAGTCAGTTCATCCGAACTCAGTGCACTAAGTCAAACATTTCCTGTACTAGGAATGCACCAAAACTCCGACCCCCTCAGATTGTCTGCCTCCCAAATGGCATCCTATTTCCAACATACAGGGCATAATGGGCACTGGTCAAAAGTAGTGCACTATGTAGGGAATAGGGTGTCATTTGGGATGCATCCTGTGTGTTACGACCCTGACCAACAGCAGTCTAACCCGCAGGCTCCTTCCTCATACCTCAGCGGTGTGTGTCTCTGTGTGTGTCTCATACCTCAGCGGTGGGAAACTCTGGGCTTTAGGAAGTGTATTATTTTATAGTCAGTGGTTGGCACGTATATCCCTGCTCAACTCTGCTAGTCATTAAAAGAGATTGAGGAAACGTCAAGGAGGTATAAAATGTCCTGGGGAGGGAGTAATCATCCCACCACCCACTTACTCTTGACACACACACACACACACAGATCCTCACCAGCCAGGATTACAGGAGCATTGGGAGCTAAAGGTTCTGAATCGAGAACCTTGAGATTGATTCTAGAACTCATAATTCTAATTCCAGAATTCAATATTCCCATTCTGGAGTGTAGCGGTTCTCAATGGTGAAGTGCTGATTAACAGCTGAACCGTCATTTTCTCCTTCCTCCGTCCCTCCATCTGTCCCACCGGTCAACACCTCTGGAGTCAAGAGGAGTAGGTATCCAACATTCCCACTGGCAGAACCTGGTATTGTAAACTTCCAGAGAGTGTTCTCATGGCAGAGCAGAATGATAGCCCTCTTAAAGCGACTGTGGTAAACGTATAAATGAAATGACTCCTCCCTACCTCCTCCCTATTTCCCTGCAGGGGGAAATTACCCTAGTATGTTGTGTATGTCTTGCTGGTTAGTGTAATAGGAGTGTTAAGATAATGATGCCTAAATTACTGTTTAGTGGCACAATCATATTGTATCCATCTCCAGCTGTTATTATGACCGGAGGGAGAGAGGGAGGGGAGGGGGATTGAATCCCTATAGATTCAGGTTTTAGTATCTGAGATATTAATATTAGAAAAAAAGCTTGTTTCCATGTGATGAGTATGTATGGCATAGTGTGTGTAGATGTGTGTGTGCGTGCACACACACCTCAATACACACATGCACACACCTCAATACACACACACACACACCTCAATACACACACACACACACCAATACACACACATACACATCAATACACACACACACACACACACCTCAATACACACACACACACATCAATACACACACACCTGGATACACACACCTCAATACACACACCTCAATACACACACCTCAATACACACACCTCAACACACACATACCTCAATATACACACCCCAATATACACACATCAATACACATATATCAATACACACATACCTCAATACACATACATACACCTCAATACACACACCTCCATACACACACTGACATATGTCAAATACACACACCCACACCTCAATACACACATACACACACCGCAATACACACACCCACACCACAATACACACATACACACACAACTCAATACACACACACATCAATACACACCTCAATACACACACCTCAATACACACACACCCACACCTCAATACACACACCCACACCTCAATAAACACAGACACACACCGCAATACACACATACACACACCTCAATACACACACACATCAATACACACCTCAATACACACACCACACCTCAATACACACACACACACACCTCAATACACACACCTCAATACGCACACATATTGTGTATATACACACACCGCGATACACAGCCATCTATACACAACTTCAAACATACACACGCACAAACTCCATACACACACAGACATACTGTAGTCATGCTATACTGAACAACAAATATAAACGCAACATATGAAGTGTTGGTCCCATTTTTCATGAGCTGAAATAAAATATCTCAGAAACGCACAAATAGCTTATTTCTCTCAAATGTTGTTTACATCCCTGTTAGTGAGCATTTATCTTTTGCCAAAATAATCCATCCACCTGACAGGTGTGGTTTATCAAGAAGCTGATTAAACAGCATGATCATTACACAGGTGCACCTTGTGCTGGGGACAATAAAAGGCAACTCTAAAATGTACAGTTTTGTCACACAACACAATGCCACATATGTCTCAAGTTTTGAGGGTGTGTGCAATTGGCATGCTGGCTGCAGGAATGTCCACCAGAACTGTTGCCAGAGAATTGAATGTTCATTTCTCTATCGTAAGCTGCCTCCAACGTCGTTTAGAGAATTTGTCCAACCGGCCTCACAACCGCAGACCACGTGTAACCACACCAGCCCAGGACCTCCACATCCGGCTTCTTTACTTGCGGGATCGTCTGAGACCAGCCACCCGAACAGCTGATGAAACTGAGGAGCATTTCTGTCTGTAATAAAGACCTTTTGTGGTGAAAAAATCATTCTGATTGGCTGGGCCTGGCTCCCCAGTGGGTGGGCTTTGCTCTCCCCCACACACACTCCCACACCCACACACAACCACCTTCCCTTCCCCTTCCACACACACACTTACTCACTCTCTCACACACGTTCTCTTTCTCTCTCCAGAGGTGTCTGTGTCGTCAGTGCTGTGTCTGTCGTCGGTGAGAGAGTTACCTGTCCAGGTGAGGGAGCTGTACGGTCAGGGCTTTGTCCTGGTGGCTGTCCATCCCTTCGTCCACCCCTGTGGCCCCAGGCCCGCACGCATCCAACGCCAGCTACACAGAGCCGTCCTCATCAGAGAGACACACAGGTACAGAAACACACACACACGGGTACGGAAACTTACACACACTCACTCACTCACTCACTCACTCACTCACTCAGTCTCAATCGCTGGCTCACACACACACACAGACACACACACACACACACACACACACACACACACTTTCTCTCATTTCCTGCATCCAATGCCTGCTACACAGAACACAGAGACACATAGTTAGGGAATACCTCTGGCTTTCTATTCTCACCTGCAGGGGCCTCATCTGAATTCTATTCTCACCCACAGAATCTGTGAAATCTGAGCAGAATCCTATTTTCACCCTGAGGATTCTCGGCAGAGATCTATTCTCACCCGTGGAATTCTTGAAGCATACTGTATGTGTAGATAGGGAACTGTATACAGCATGTGGAAGGCCCATGTATATAGACATGCTCACACTTCCACACACATATGCTTACACATACAAATACATACACACACACACACAGTTGGATGCTGGGCTGCTCATTTGATGCCCCTTCTGCCAAGTGGCACCTGTCACCGTGGAGACGGCTGATTGCATCATCAGCACCCACCGGAGGGGAACAATGTGCTAGGAGAGGGGAACCATGAGGCCTCCTCTTCTCCTTTCATCTCTCCATCACTTCATCTCTCTCCTCTCTCCTACCTTCTATCCTCCTCTCTCTTCTCCTTTCATCTCTCCATCACTTCATCTCTCTCCTCTCTCCTACCTTCTATCCTCCTCTCTCTTCTCCTTTCATCTCTCCATCACTTCATTTCTCTCCTCTCTCCTACCCTCTATCCTCCTCTCTCTCCTCCTTTCATCTCTTCATCACCATTTCCCTTTCCACCATTCTCCATCCTCCTCTTTTCCCCTCTTCTTTTTTGATACCTTCATCGCTTGCATCCCATTTTCCTCTATCCTCCTCATCTCTCCCCTTTCTTCCAGCCTGTATCCTCCTCTTATCTCTCCTCCTCTCATCCCTCCATTACCAACATTCTCCTTTCTTCCATTCTCTCTCCTCCTCTTCCATCCCTCTCTCCTTCCCTAATTTCCTCCTCTCCTCCTAACCCCCTGGCAGCTGTCATCAAAACAAATGTGAACCAGAAGAGGTTGACTGTGGTCTTCAATTTCAAAACTGTCTGAACGTGTTAGAGGCCCTAAAGAACAATAGATGACTAAGATCCAGAATACAAACATGATTATCTATAGTTTTATTCACTCCTTCATCAGTTCTTTCTACACGTGCATGTATTTTGTTGAGAAGAGAGTACGTCTGGGTCCTAAATGGCTATTCTCTGCATAGTGCATTGCTTTTGACCATAGCCCTATGGGCCCCTATGAGCCCTGGTCAAAAGTAATGCACTATATAGGGAATAGGGTGCCTAAATGTCCGCTGATCTCTTCCTTCATTCCTCTTTAATTTCTCTCTCTCCAGTTCAGAGAACCAGCTGAAGTGGGCGGGGCTTCGCCTGGAGACAGACGTGTGTGTGGCGGGTCAACAGGCCCCCGACCCGGAAGTCATCCAGAACTACGTGAAGAAGGTTAGCCCTGCCCATTAGTCCTAAAGCACAGCTCTAGCATCAGTTTACTACTTACACTCAGCTCCCCTCTGGGAGAAGTTACCCATAGGCACAGATCTAGGATCAGCTTACTACTTACACTCAGCTCCCCTCTGGGAGAAGTTACCCATAGGCACAGATCTAGGATCAGCTTACTACTTACACTCAGCTCCCCTCTGGGAGAAGTTACCCATAGGCACAGATCTAGCATCAGCTTACTACTTACACTCAGCTCCCCTCTGGGAGAAGTTACCCATAGGCACAGATCTAGGATCAGCTTACTACTTACACTCAGCTCCCCTCTGGGAGAAGTTACCCATAGGCACAGATCTAGGATCAACAAATTCCTCCACAAATGTTAATCGTAGCCTTTTACGCTCTACCTGTATACGGGTTGAAAATGGCAGAATTGGTCGCTAATAAGCGTCAGTGTTGTCTGAGTGAAGGAAATGCTGTAAATTAAGAGGACTTGATGTGTTTTGAAAGATGAGATGTTGAGTATTATAATAAATAAAGATTTGATGTCATACATCAAATCATGTTCTCCCGAGTGGCGTAGTGGTGCCACTAGAGATCCTGGTTCGAATCCAGGCTCTGTCATAGCTGGTCGCGACCGGGAGACCCATGGGGCGGCGCACAATTGGCCCAGCGTCGTCCAAGGTAGGGCAGGGAATGACCGGCAGGGATGTAGCTCAGTTGGTAGAGCATGGCGTTTGCAACGCCAGGGTTGTGGGTTCGATTCCCACAGGGGGTATGAAAAAAAAAATGGAAAAAAATGAAAAAATAACTAACTGTAAGTCGCTCTGGATAAGAACGTCTGCTAAATGACTAAATGTAAATGTAATACAAGCAATCCAAACACCTGTGAGTCCACATCACATCTCCAAATCATAAAACTCATATACAGGGTCAAGGTTTATGATCACTATGTTTGATGGACAGTTATAAGATCACATGTTGTCATACCCTGGGATGTTCTGAACAGAATGAGCTTGTGTTTGTTTATTGTGAAGAAAATGTGCCGCGTCACCAAAATGACAATTTGTTTCTCTGAATTGCCTTTTGAAAGCCTAACACTGTAAGATCATATTTTATAACTTAGCTAGTCATGTTGGCAATAGAACAAGCTTTCTAATCATGCCCACTTGACCCAGAATGCAATTTATAATGGACGGTTTTTTGATTGCGTAAACAACAGTAATTGTGTGATGCAGGGCTGTGTTCCAAAAGAAAACAACTCCAAGTGTACTTGCTCTAGTCCCTCAACGGCACAGCTAGGAGAGCTCAAAAATGCACCTTGAAGACTCTTCTTTGATTCCTAAAAGTGCATTGAAATTGCTTTGCAACTGTGCACACTTTGGAGAGGTGTGTGGCCACTTGGAGACACTCACTCAAACTCTCACTCATATCATTTTTTTTGTCTTATGTTCCACCTACCCCACATTTTCCAGGAATAGTCTTATCATGTTACTGAATGTATCCAGAATATTTTCAGATTTCGTTGTCAACAAATGCGATGAAAAGTACAGTAAATGTAAAATGCACCTAAAATCAACAGTGTAATGTTTGGATTCAGTCTTGTGTCCGGTGAACTGTTGGGTACTCACCTTTGGTCTAATCATTTTCACATTATCTCCAAACTGTTCCCTTTCATTTGCTACCATGGTTATGCATTTTCATATTTCTTCTGTAAGAAACATTTCAATTTAGCCCGAGCCAATTCCCACAAGTGTAAAGGGTTAAAGGCCCAATCCTTAGTTGGACTCCCCTCCTCTGTTTTGGTAAAAAGCCGAAAGATGGGCCTGGAGAAATTCAAATTCATAGACCGAGCTATGGAAGCAAGGACTGACCAATCCAAGATATCAAAATTATAGTTTAAAGCATGTTTTGAGGCTATACAGTGTTTGTTTACATTTATATTGTTTACAAATATTGGAGTAAAACAAGCTAATATTATGGGTTCTGATGGGGTACGACAGTTTAACTAAGGTCATTAGGCATTTTAGGTTATATTCTTCAAGAATCAATAGGTATATACAGTGGGGAGAACAAGTATTTGATACACTGCCGATTTTGCAGGTTTTCCTACTTACAAAGCATGTAGAGGTCTGTAATTTTTATCAAAGGTACACTTCAACTGTGAGAGGCGGAATCTAAAACAAAAATCCAGAAAATCACATTGTATGATTTTTAAGTAATTCATTTGCATTTTATTGCATGACATAAGTATTTGATCACCTACCAACCAGTAAGAATTCCAGCTCTCACAGTCCTGTTAGTTTTTCTTTAAGAAGCCCTCCTGTTCTCCACTCATTACCTGTATTAACTGCACCTGTTTGAACTCGTTGCCTGTATAAAAGACACCTGTCCACACACTCAATCAAACAGACTCCAACCTCTCCACAATGGCCAAGACCAGAGAGCTGTGTAAGGACATCAGGGATAAAATTGTAGACCTGCACAAGGCTGGGATCGGCTACAGGACAATAGGCAAGCAGCTTGGTGAGAAGCAACAACTGTTGGCGCAATTATTAGAAAATGGAGGAAGTTCAAGATGACGGTCAATCACCCTCGGTCTGGGGCTCCATGCAAGATCTCACCTCGTGGGGCATCAATGATCATGAGGAAGGTGAGGGATCAGCCCAGAACTACACGGCAGGACCTGGTCAATGACCTGAAGAGAGCTGGTACCACAGTCTCAAAGAAAACCATTAGTAACACACTACACCGTCATGGATTAAAATCCTGCAGCGCACGCAAGGTCCCCCTGCTCAAGCCAGCGCATGTCCAGGTCTGTCTGAAGTTTGCCAATGACAACTGGATGATCCAGAGGAGGAATGGGAGAAGGTCATGTGGTCTGATGAGACAAATATAGAGCTTTTTGGTCTAAACTCCACTCGCCGTGTTTGGAGGAAGAAGAAGGATGAGTACAACCCCAAGAACACCATCCCAACCGTGAAGCATGGAGGTGGAAACATCATTCTTTGGGGATGCTTTTCTGCATAGGGGACAGGATGACTGCACCGTATTGATGGGAGGATGGATGGGGCCATGTATCGCGAGATCTTGGCCAACAACCTCCTTCCATCAGTAAGAGCATTGAAGATGGGTCGTGGCTGGGTCTTCCAGCATGACAACGACCCGAAGCACACAGCCAGGGCAACTAAGGAGTGGCTCCGTAAGAAGCATCTCAAGGTCCTGGAGTGGCCTAACCAGTCTCCAGACCTGAACCCAATAGAAAATCTTTGGAGGGAGCTGAAAGTCCGTATTGCCCAGCGACAGCCCAGAAACCTGAAGGATCTGGAGAAGGTCTGTATGGAGGAGTGGGCCAAAATCTGCAGTGTGCAAACCTGGTCAAGACCTACAGGAAATGTATGATCTCTGTAATTGCAAACAAAGGTTTCTGTACCAAATATTAAGTTCTGCTTTTCTGATGTATCAAATACTTATGTCATGCAATAAAATGCAAATTAATTACTTAAAAATCATACAATGTGATTTTCTTGATTTTTGTTTTAGATTCCGTCTCTCACAGTTGAAGTGTACCTATGATAAAAATGACAGACCTCTACATGCTTTGTAAGTAGGAAAACCTGCAAAATCGGCAGTGTATCAAATACTTGTTCTCCCCACTGTATATGTTTAATTTATAAGTCAAAAATGTATGTAGTAACTGCAGATTGTCCCTTTAAAGGTATATTACACTCCGAAATTCCTCCCTTAATTTGAACCTTAATATTTGACTGAAAAGATTCTCGGGGTAAACTCATCCTACTTTCCATGGATGCCTCCTCTCCTTCCCCTACTGGTTATGTACACCTGTATCATGTACAGTGGGGAGAAAAAGTATTTAGTCAGCCACCAATTGTGCAAGTACTCCCACTTAAAAAGATGAGAGAGGCCTGTAATTTTCATCATAGGTACACGTCAACTATGACAGACAAATTGAGAAAAAAAATCCAGAAAATCACATTGTAGGATTTTTTATGAATTTATTTGCAAATTATGGTGGAAAATAAGTATTTGGTCAATAACAAAAGTTTCTCAATACTTTGTTATATACCCTTTGTTGGCAATGACACAGGTCAAACGTTTTCTGTAAGTCTTCACAAGGTTTTCACACACTGTTGCTGGTATTTTGGCCCATTCCTCCATGCAGATCTCCTCTAGAGCAGTGATGTTTTGGGGCTGTCGCTGGGCAACATGGACTTTCAACAGGACCTTGAAATGCTTCTTACGAAGCCACCTCTTCGTTGCCCGGGCGGTGTGTTTGGGATCATTGTCATGCTGAAAGACCCAGCCACGTTTCATCTTCAATGCCCTTGCTGATGGAAGGAGGTTTTCACTCAAAATCTCATGATACATGGCCCCATTCATTCTTTCCTTTACACGGATCAGTCGTCCTGGTCCCTTTGCAGAAAAACAGCCCCAAAGCATGATGTTTCCACCCCCATGCTTCACAGTAGGTATGGTGTTCTTTGGATGCAACTCAGCATTCTTTGTCCTCCAAACACGACGAGTTGAGTTTTTACCAAAAAGTTCTATTTTGGTTTCATCTGACCCTATGACATTCTCCCAATCCTCTTTTGGATCATCCAAATGCACTCTAGCAAACTTCAGACGGGCCTGGACATGTACTGGCTTAAGCAGGGGGACACGTCTGGCACTGCAGGATTTGAGTCCCTGGCGGCGTAGTGTGTTACTGATGGTAGGCTTTGTTACTTTGGTCCCAGCTCTCTGCAGGTCATTCACTAGGTCCCCCCGTGTGGTTCTGGGATTTTTGCTCACCGTTCTTGTGATCATTTTGACCCCACGGGGTGAGGTCTTGCGTGGAGCCCCAGATCGAGGGAGATTATCAGTGGTCTTGTATGTCTTCCATTTCCTAATAATTGCTCCCACAGTTGATTTCTTCAAACCAAGCTGCTTACCTATTGCAGATTCATTCTTCCCAGCCTGGTGCAGGTCTACAATTTTGTTTCTGGTGTCCTTTGACAGCTCTTTGGTCTTGGCCATAGTGGAGTTTGGAGTGTGACTGTTTGAGGTTGTGAACAGGTGTCTTTTATACTGATAACAAGTTCAAACAGGTGCAATAAATACAGGTAACGAGTGGAGGACAGAGGAGCCTCTTAAAGAAGAAGTTACAGGTCTGTGAGAGCCAGAAATCTTGCTTGTTTGTAGGTGACCAAATACTTATTTTCCACCATAATTTGCAAATAAATTCATAAAAAATCCTACAATGTGATTTTCTGGATTTTTTTTTCTAAATTTTTTTGTCATAGTTGACGTGTACCTATGATGAAAATTACAGGCCTCTCTCATCTTTTTAAGTGGGAGAACTTGCACAATTGGTGGCTGACTAAATACTTTTTTCCCCCACTGTAGATGGAGAGGAGAGGAAGCCACTTAGACTATTGAGATGCCCCCCCCTAATGTCACTATCAGCTGTGACATCATCATTTAACAACCACAAACTCCCTCTTAGGCACTTACAGTATAGTAGTGAATTCATCTTATTCTACAGAGACCATGAGATGTGAACAGGACCTCTGATCCCTGGTAACCCAGTAGGACCCTGATCACCTGAGGATGACATCATCATTAATATTGACATACCGTTTACATAGGCATTTTGTACATAACACTTGACGTATTGTTTCCTGTCTTTTTGCATAGAACATATTATTCACTCTACCTCTTTGGCCTTTGTCACCATCAATTCCAGGAGCTCCTGTTTGAGAATTAAATATATGTTTTAAAATGTATGAAAATGTATGCACTCACTAACTGTAAGTCGCTCTGGATAAGAGCGTCTGCTAAATGACTAAAATGTCAATGTTAAAAAACAGGCCTTATTGAGTAGATTTGCATGTGAACAGGCGGAGCATAAAAGGTAGCGGTGATTGGATTGAAATGCACATACTGAGATAATGTGATATGGTCAGGCAGTGTGACATGAATATGCAATCAGTTAGCAGCCTGGCTGCCAGGGAATCACAGAAAAGAACCACAGACAGGAACCAATAGAAGAGTAGGGGACATTGATGGTTCTTCTCACACTGCAGGGTTTGGCACTTACAGTCCATTCGGAAAGTATTCAGACCCCTTGACTTTTCCTCATCAATCTACGCACATACCCCATAATTGCATGGCAAAAACAGGTTTTTAGAAATTTTAGCAAATGTATTAGAAATAAAAAACGGAAATATCACATTTACATAAGTATTCAGACCCTTTACTCAGTACTTTGTTGAAGCATCTTTGGCAGCGATTACAGCCTCGGGTCTTCTTGGGAATGACGCTACAAGCTTGGCACACCTGTATTTGGGGAGTTTCTCCCATTCTTCTTTGAAAATCCTCTCAAGCGCTGTCAGGTTGAATGGGGAGCATTGCTGCACAGCTATTTTCAGGTCTCTCCAGATATGTTCGATCAGGTTCAAGTCCGTGCTCTGGCTGGGCCACTCAAGGACATTCAGAGACTTGTCCCGAAGCAACTCCTGGGTTGTCTTGGCTATGTGCTTAGGGTCGTTGTCCTGTTGGAAAGTGAACCTTCACCCCAGTCTGAGGTCCTGAGCGCTCTGGAGCAGGTTTTCATCAAGGATCTCTCTGTACTTTGCTCCGTTCATCTTTCCCTCAATCCTGACTAGTCTCCCAGTCCCTGCCGCTGAAAAACATCTCCTTAGCATGATGCTGCTACCACCATGCTTCACCGTAGGGATGGTGCCAGGTTTTCTCCAGACGTGACGCTTGGCATTCAGGCCAAAGAGTTCAATCTTGGTTTCATCAGATCAGAGAATCTTGTTTCTCATGGTCTGAGAGTCTTTAGGTGCCTTTTGGCAAACTCTAAGCGGGCTATCATGTGCCATTTACTGAGGAGTGGCTTCCATCTGCCTACTCTACCATGAAGGCCTGATTGGTGGAGTGCTGCAGAGATGGTTGTCCTTCTGGAAGGTTCTCCTATCTCCATGGAGGAACTCTGGAGCTCTGTCAGAGTGACCATCGGGGTCTTGGTCACCTCCCTGACCAAGGCCCTTCTCCTGCGTTTGCTCAGTTTGGCCGGGCGGCCAGCTCTAGGAAGAGTCTTGGTGGTTCCAAACTTATTCCACTTAAGAATAATGGAGGCCACTGTGTTCCTGGGGACCTTCAATGCTGCAGAATTTTTTGGTACCCTTCCCCAGATCTGTGCCTTTACACAATCCTGTCTCGGAGCTCTATGGACAATTCCTTCGACCTCATGGCTTGGTTTTTGCTCTGACATGCACTGTCAACTGTGGGACCTTATATAGACAGGAGTGTGCCTTTCCAAATCATGTCCAATCAATTGAATTTACCACAGGTGGACTTCAATCAAGTTGTAGAAACATCTCAAGGATGATCAATGGAAACAGGATACACCTGAGCTCAATTTCGAGTCTCATAGCGAAGGGTCTGAATACTTCTGTAAATAAGGTATTTAAGTTTTTTATTTTTAATACATTTGCCAAAAATTCTAAAAACCTGTTTTCACTTTGTCATTATGGGGCATTGTGTGTAGATTGATGAGGACATTTTTTTATTTAATCCATTTTAGAATAAGGCTGTAACGTAACTAAATGTGGAAGAAGTAAAGGGGTCTGAATACTTTCCGAAGGCACTGTACTTCCTTATGATACACACACACACGTGTGCATTTGCACACACACGCATACATGCACAAACTAAATATGTAAAAATAAGTAAATGTCAAGGAGGTATAAAAAGCCTTTGGGTGGTATTTAGTATTAATCCCCACCACCCACATACAGTGAGGGAAAAAAGTATTTGATCCCCTGCTGATTTTGTACGTTTGCCCACTGACAAATAAATTATCAGTCTATAATTTTTATGGTAGGTTTATTTGAATATTGAGAGACAGAATAACAACAACAAAATCCAGACAAACGCATGTCAAAAATGTTATAAATTGATTTGCATTTTAATGAGGGAAATAAGTATTTGACCCCCTCTCAATCAGAAAGATTTCTGGCTCTCAGGTGTCTTTTATACAGGTAACGAGCTGAGATTAGGAGCACACTCTTAAAGGGAGTGCTCCTAATCTCAGTTTGTTACCTGTATAAAAGACACCTGTCCACAGAAGCAATCAATCAATCAGATTCCAAACTCTCCACCATGGCCAAGACCAAAGAGCTCTCCAAGGATGTCAGGGACAAGATTGTAGACCTACACAAGGCTGTAATGGGCTACAAGACCATCGCCAAGCAGCTTGGTGAGAAGGTGACAACAGTTGGTGTGATTATTCGCAAATGGAAGAAACACAAAAGAACTGTCAATCTCCCTCGGCCGTGGCTCCATGCAAGATCTCACCTTGTGGAGTTGCAATGAGAACGGTGAGGAATCAGCCCAGAACTACACGGGAGGATCTTGTCAATGATCTCAAGGCAGCTGGGACCATAGTCACCAAGAAAACAATTGGTAACACACTACGCCGTGAAGGACTGAAATCCTGCAGCGCCCGCAAGGTCCCCCTGCTCAAGAAAGCACATATACAGGCCCGTCTGAAATTTGCCAATGAACATCTGAATGATTCAGAGGAGAACTGGGTGAAAGTGTTGTGGTCAGATGAGAACAAAATTGAGCTCTTTGGCATCAACTCAACTCGCCGTGTTTGGAGGAGGAGGAATGCTGCCTATGACCCCAAGAACACCATCCCCACCGTCAAACATGGAGGTGGAAACATTATGCTTTGGGGGTGTTTTTCTGCTAAGGGGACAGGACAACTTCACCGCATCAAAGGGACGATGGACGGGGCCATGTACCGTCAAATCTTGGGTGAGAACCTCCTTCCCTAAGCCAGGGCATTGAAAATGGGTCGTGGATGGGTATTCCAGCATGACAATGACCCAAAACACACGGCCAAGGCAACAAAGGAGTGGCTCAAGAAGAAGCACATTAAGGTCCTGGAGTAGCCTAGCCAGTCTCCAGACCTTAATCCCATAGAAAATCTGTGGAGGGAGCTGAAGGTGCGAGTTGCCAAACGTCAGCCTCGAAACCTTAATGACTTGGAGAAGATCTGCAAAGAGGAGTGGGACAAAAACCCTCCTGAGATGTGTGCAAACCTGGTGGCCAACTACAAGAAACGTCTGACCTCTGTGATTGCCAACAAGGGTTTTTCCACCAAGTACTAAGTCATATTTTGCAGAGGGGTCAAATACTTATTTCCCTCATTAAAATGCAAATCAATTTATAACATTTTTGACATGCGTTTTTCTGGATATTTTTGTTGTTATTCTGTCTCTCACTGTTCAAATAAACCTACCATTAAAATTATAGACTGATCATGTCTTTGTCAGCGGGCAAACGTACAAAATCAACAGGGGATCAAATACTTTTTTCCCTCACTGTATAACCTTGTATTGCTACCACTGTATCATCAAAGGTATTATCTAAGAGAGTTTCACAGATAATCAGAAATTGAATGTCATCTGTTACTAGCAAATTAGTGATTTAATGAACCTTGTTTCTTAAGCTACATATGTTAACGTGGGCTATTTTGAGCACTTTTCTTCTGGGATGCTTACTTGTTTTTATTGCTTGAGTGTATGTGTCTGCTAAGCACTACCGTGTGTGTGTGTGTGTGTGTGTGTGTGTGTGTGTGTGTGTGTGTGTGCGTGTGTGTGTCCATGTCCATGTTCATGTACAGATCCAGGACATGGCGGAGCAGGGTGTGCTGTTTGTGGGCTTCCTGCAGCAGCCTGGCGGGGGACCCTGTTTCCTGGGGCACTTGGACCCTGAAGACCTGTCCTCCCTGCACTCCAGCCCCTCCCCCATACACAGACACCCCACCAGCCCCTCAGAACCCACAATACCGAATCTCAGCCCTACAGACTCTACAGAACCACACCAGAACCTCCTAGAACCAGAACACGACCGGAACACAGAAGTGAAAACACCAGAACACAAGTCGGTAGAACTCAGAACAATTGAGCAGAACCCTACAGATACCAGTCAGGTGGAGCTGGACTTGAGCTCAACAGGACCGCTAGATTTCACACAGGACTCTACTCCAATAGAATCATCAGACAGAGAACACGACCACAGTCCAGGCAGAATAGCCTCAATAGAGGACCAACCAAACTGCTGTCCAGATGAACCAGCAGACTCACCAGAGAGACCGCAGAGTCCCAGCCCAATAGATCCAGCTAGTGACCAACAGAACCACAACCACGCCCCAACAGAACTCCCTGGCGACCAGGATCAGCTACTGTCTAACAACCCAATAGAGACCACATGTAGAGAGAGACAACAGAATGAAAGCCAAGCAGACTTCATCAGGATTCTACTACCCAACTTCAGCCCGGCAGAGTTAACACATGGACTTGGTGGTCCAGACGCAGACAGGCAGCGCCAGGGAGACAGACAGAGTCCAAGCCCTCAGACACAGAACCACAACCAGAGACCGGAACAGGACCACAGCACAGACGACCTGGTCCGGTCACCAGAACTAGACAACTACGACCATGGGTCAGAGTCCGAGGCTGAGAGGGGGTGTAACCGTGGAAACGGGGGCACGGGCAGTGACCCGGATGAGCATCAGAGGAGCAGCAGAGTGCCGACCCACAACAACAACAATCACATCCGGGTCAAGAGTCCAGAAAGAGAAAAGAGGGCTGTAGTGTCTCCACCAGCACAGAGCAGTGAGTGTGAAGTCTACTACTGTTGCTACCTGGTTATAGAGGTTGCTGTTGTGAGTTTATACTGAATATTACTGAATTATATAACATTGATTGATTTCAGACTTGTGTACAGTATTTCATGGCAAAATGATGGCACATAATGCTATGTGCCTTTCTCTGTGTGTAGGGGTGCAGCTGTTTGCCCTGTACAACCGCACGGGGGAGCTGTCCAGCTCTCTGAGGTTCTACTCCCTCAGGGTTCCGCTGCGGCTGCAGAGAGAGGCGGGGCTAGTGACGGAGGTTGACGCCCACTGGCTGGATCACATGACACAGCATTTCACTAGCGGAGCTCACCTCATCGACGGCTTCTTTCACCTTGGAGACAACAATGGTATATTTGCCACAATGGTGATGTGTAATGCAGCAGTAGCCTGAGTGTCAGTCTGTATGTGCTGCCATGCCAACTCCTTGTCACTCATTGTCATACCAAACACTCTGTTCTAGCTCATTAATGATAACATGTTCATATTTGAAGATTGAATTGAGGCCAGACTGTTTGGCTTGTTCATTAGCATTGCAGTTAGGAAGAGCACAAACATCTCTTGGACAACGCTAGTGTTGGAGTGTTTACCATGGCGAACAAACTCAAAACTTTTGGAACTTGGTAAAGGCCTACTTGGAAAGTGTGTAGGCTCAGGCTTATCATGTTCCTTCACCCATGATGCATGGAAGCACATCGAAGCCAAGAGCGGATCAACTCTATCTTTTCCAAATCTGTGGAAACTGTAACAGAAGAAGTTGTTGAGCTTCTCTCTCTCTCTCTCGCTTTTCTTTTCTCTCTTTCTCTCTCTCTCTTTCTCTTTCAGACAGCGTGGTCTCATCCGTGGACAGTGTGTTCATCTTTCAGAGCTCCTCAGAAGAAACCCCACCCACTTCATACGACGCCATTGTGGTGGAGCAGTGGACCATTATCGATGTGAGTGTGTGCACGTGCGTGCGTGTAAATGTCTGTGTGTGTGTGTGCGTACGTGCGTCCATTGTCGACGTGTGTAACACTGTTTTTGTCCTCTCCAGGGTGTAGTGGTAAGGACTGACTACATCCCCTTGCTCCAGTCTCTGGCTCCCTATGGATGGAGACTGATGTGTGTTCTGCCTACTCCCATCGTTAAGACCAACAGGTACTGTCCCAACCCACCAGTCAGGAGCACTAGGTAGTAGGAAACATACCAGCCTAGTATAGACTAATAGTTACTGTATTTCTCTAAACCATACTAAACATTTGAACACTGCACATCATTTGGAACAAAATTACATTTCACAATTTCTTTCACATTATAAGATGCAGAATAGGACTCAGACAGTTCTAATATCAAGTTACAAGATGTGAGGCCAGTACTGATGTGATGTACATGACGTTAATAGCACTGTTCTCTCCTTAGTGATGGCAGCTTGTCCACAAAGCAGATCCTCTTCCTCCAGAGACCTGCCTTGCAACGCAACAGGAAAGACTTCAAGGTTCCTCTTTATTTTTCTCTAGTTCTGTCTCTCTCTCTGTCTCTCTCTCTCTCTCTCTCTGTGTGTCTCTCTCTCTCTCTCTCTCTCTCTGTATCTCTCTCTATATATCACTCACTCTTTCCTTACCTTACACAATGCTGTGTCACAGTTGGTGTCATTAAAAAGTCATACTTCTAAATATAGCGGAAGATAACCCAGCTGAGATAGACCTACTCTGGTTCTGTTAACGCTTAGGGGGAGAGTTTTATGTTCTAAAATAGTAATTTCTTAGTACATTACAGTCAAAAAGAGAACTTTCTTCAGTCAATGATTTGCTGTTAACTGTCCAAGAGAGGCATCACAGAGACTTCTGCTGTTAACTGTCCAAGAGAGGCATCACAGAGACTTTTGTAGTCATTTGTCAGGTGTCTGAAGAGAGAGTTTATAGAAAAAAAAGAAAAAAAAACTCCTTAAAATGTCTCTCTTTCAGAAGTTGAACCTCAGGGGTCGGAACAAGCCAAAGAAAAACTCTGCTGGAGAAATGTTGGAGAAGAAAGAGGAAAGAAAGGACACATCCCCAGTGATGGAGAGAGGGATGGATGGACAGAAGAGGAACACGGAAGAGGAGGAGGAGAGAGAGGCGAGAACAAATTGGGAGAACAACAGAAATGAGAAAGGGAGAACCATAGACAGAGAAGGACTCAAGAGAGAAGAGGAGAGAGAGTGTGAGACAGAATCTCAAGAAGACTTCACCCAGGGTACAGAGGGCGGGGCCACAGACCTCAACCAGGAAGTAGAGCGGGGGAATGACAAAGCCCCATTGGCCAGACATGAGAAGGCCGTTAGGTTTGCAGATCAATTTGTCAATCAGAAGAATGATGAAGAGAAGTCAGAGGAGAAGATCACACAGCAGCTGAGTGAGAGAGTGCTGTTTTCTGGAGTATGTTAATTAGATAAAATCAGGGCAGTATTCAATAAAGCGTCCGAGTAGGAGTGCTGATCTAGGAACAGTTTTGCCTTTTAAATCATAATGAATAAGCAGGGGGAACTGATCCTAGATCAGACCTCCTACTCTGAAATGTGAATAACGTTACAGGCCCTGACCTGGGTTCAAATAGTATTTGTAAGATTGCTTGATTGAGCTTGCATGGTACCTTGCCTGGATGGAACCAATGGAATAGTCCCAAAAGTGCAAACCCAGACCAATTGACACTCTAGGCAGGCTTAGCAAGTTGTAAGATTTCAAACAGCCTACTATTTTAACCCTGGACTGGAAATAATAAATGGATATACAGAATGACAGAATAGGATGAAGCACTAGTAGCTCATCAATGGAAACCAAGGCACTTACCAGAATGGTGGTTTAGTTAAAAGCCTTTATTTTCCTGGTACTGTATAAAACCTGGAGTCATATACAGTATATATGTACAGTACCAGTCAAAAGTCTGGACACACCTACTCGTTCAAGGGTTTTTCTTTATTTTTACTATTTTTTACATTGTAGAATAATAGTGAAGACATCAAAACTATGAAATAACACATATGGAATCATGTAGTAACCAAAAAAGTGTTAAACAAATCCAAATATATTATAAGTAGCCACCCTTTGCCTTGATGACAGCTTTACACACTCTTGCCATTCTCTCAACCAGCTTCATGAGGTAGTCACCTGGAATGCATTTAAATTAACTGGTGTGCCTTGTTAAAAGTTAATTTGTGGAATTTCTTTCCATCTTAATGTGTTTGAGCCAATCAGTTGTGTTGTGACAAGGTAGGGGTGGTATACAGAAGATAGCCCTATTTGGTAAAATACCAAGTCCATATTATGGCAAGAACAGCTCAAATAAACAAAGAGAAATGACAGTCCATCATTACATTGAGACATGAAGGTCAGTCAATCTGGAAAATTTCAAGAACTTTGAAGGTTTCTTGAAGTGCAGTCGCAAAAACCATCAAGCGCTATGATGAAACTGGCTCTCATGAGGACCGCCACAGGAAAGGAAGACCCAGAGTTACCTCTGCTGCAGAGGATAAGTTCATTAGAGGAGGAGGTGTGATGGTGTGGGGATGCTTTGCTGGTGACACTGTCAGTGATTTATTTAGAATTCAATGCACACTTAACCAGCATGGCTACCACAGCATTCTGCAGCGATACGCCATCCCATCTGGTTTGGGCTTAGTGGGACTATCATTTGTTTTTCAACAGGACAATGTTCCCAACACACCTCCAGGCTGTATAAGGGCTATTTGACCAAGAAGGAGAGTGATGGAGTGCTGCATCAGATGACCCACCTTGTCACAACACAACTGATTGTCTCAAATGCATTAAGAAGGGAAGAAATTCCACAAATTAACTTTTAACAAGGCACACCTGTTAATTGAAATGCATTCCAGGTGACTACCTCATGAAGCTGGTTGAGAGAATGCCAAGAGTGTGCAAAGCTGTCATCAAGGCAAAGGGTGGCTATTTGAAGAATCTCAAATATAAAATATATCTTGATTTGTTTAACACTTCTTTGGGTACTACATGATTCCATATGTGTTATTTCATAGTTTTGATGTCTTCACTATTATTCTACAATGTAAAAAATAGTAAAAATAAAGAAAAACCCTTGAATGAGTAGGTGTGTCCAAACTTTTGACTGGTAGTGTGTGTATATAATATATATATATATATATATATATATATATATATATATATATATATATATATATATATATATATAAACTCAGCAAAAAAAGAAATGTCCCTTTTTCAGGACCCTGTCTTTCAAAGATAATTAGTAAAAATCCAAATAACTTCACAGATCTTCATTGTAAAGGTTTAAATACTGTTTCCCATGCTTGTTCAATGAACCATAAACAATTAATGAACATGCAACTGTGGAACGGTCGTTAAGACACTAACAGCTTACAGACGGTAGGCAATTAAGGTCACAGTTATGAAAACTTCGGACACTAAAGAGGCCTTTCTACTGACTCTGAAAAACACCAAAAGAAAGATGCCCAGGGTCCCTGGTCATCTGCGTGAATATGCCTTAGGCATGCTGCAAGGAGGCATGAGGACTGCAGATGTGGCCAGGGCAATAAATTGCAATGTCAGTACTGTGAGACACCTAAGGAAGCGCTACAGGGAGACAGGACGGACAGCTGATCGTCCTTTCAGTGGCAGACCACGTGTAACAACACCTGCACAGGATTGGTACATCCGAACATCACACCTGCGGGACAGGTACAGGATGGCAACAACAACAGCACAATCCCTCCATCAGTGCTCAGACTGTCCGCAATAGGCTGAGAGAGGCTGGACTGAGGGCTTGTAGGCCTGTTGTAAGGCATGTCCTCACCAGACATCACCGGCAACAATGTTGCCTATGGCCACAAAACCACCGTCGCTGGACCAGACAGGACTGGCATAAAGTGCTCTTCACTGACGAGTCGTGGTTTTGTCTCAACAGGGGTGATGGTCATATTCGCGTTTATCGTCGAAGGAATGAGCGTTACACCGAGGCCTGTACTCTGGAGCGGGATCGATTTGGAGGTGGAGGGTCCGTCATGGTCTGGGGCGGTGTGTCACAGCATCATTGGACTGAGCTTGTTGTCATTGCAGGCAATCTCAATGCTGTGCGTTACAGGGAAGACATCCTCCTCCCTCATGTGGTACCCTTCCTGCAGGCTCATCCTGACATGATCCTCCAGCATGACAATGCCACCAGCCATACTGCTCATTCTGTGTGTGATTTCCTGCAAGACAGGCATGTCAGTGTTCTGCCATGGCCAGCGAAGAGCCCGGATCTCAATCCCATTGAGCACGTCTGGGACCTGTTGGATCGGAGGGTGAGGGCTAGGGCCATTCCCCCCAGAAATGTCCGGGAACTTGCAGGTGCCTTGGTGGAAGAGTGGGGTAACATCTCACAGCAAGAACTGGCAAATCAGGTGCAGTCCACGAGGAGGAGATGCACTGCAGTACTTAATGCAGCTAGTGGCCACACCAGATACTGACTGTTACTTTTGATTTTGACCTCCCCTTTGTTCAGGGACACATTATTCAATTTCTGTTAGTCACATGTCTGTGGAACTTGTTCAGTTTATGTCTCAGTTGTTGAATCTTGTTATGTTCATACAAATATTTACACATGTTAAGTTTGCTGAAAATAAACGCAGTTGACAGTGAGAGGACGTTTCTTTTTTTGCTGAGTTTTTATATATATATATATATAAATGGATTTGTGTATATTCATATGGATATGGACTGCTGCCAATGTGTAACGGCTTCAATCAGCCTTCAAGGCACACATTTCACCGTCTGGCCTCAGATGTTGTCGTTTGGAGTAGGGTGAAGGGGCCCCTAGATGTTGTCGTTTGGAGTAGGGTGAAGGGGCCCCTAGATGTTGTCGTTTGGAGTAGGGTGAAGGGGCCCCTAGATGCTGATCTTGGGTCAGTTTTGCATTTCCCCCACAAATGGTTATGGTTAGGACGAGGGAGGGTCCTAGATCTGTACCTAAGGGAAACTTCACCCTGGAGTGTTGTAATGTACTAGCCTAGTAGGCATTGTTTGCAAATATGTGGAGATGCTTTTGTACAGTTATGCATCTGCTTTGGGCCGATGACAATACGCAGATAATGTAGGTCAGAGGTCAGCGTCTATTTGCCATGTATCATAGAATACTGTACATTTAAGTAGATACTCTACACCTTTATTTAACCCATTTCGCATCAAGGACTATGGCCCTGTGTGAATACTTAAAAATGTATCCTTCCTTTTCCCCTTCATTTATCATGATTGCACTTAACCCTAATTGCTCCCGTAAGTCGCTCTGAATAAAGCGTCTGCTAAATGATTAAAATGTAAATGTAATGATTGGTTAGGTGTAAGTCATGTTTCCATTGTATAGCTTTCACCTATCATGTTATGTTAGGTCAGTGATTATACTTTATAGAAGGGATTTATGGAATACATTTTAGGAATATTTGTACAGCACCATAGTCCCCTTCCTGTTGTCTGAGTGATGTGGTAAACAAGTGTGGTAATGTCCCAAATGGCACCCTATTCCCTATATAGTGCACTACATAGGGAGCCATTTAAGATGCATTCTTTATTACAGACAAACAAAAGGAATAAACAGCTCTCAAAACAATATGTTTTCTTTTATTTCAACTCTTAAGTCTGTATATTTCAGTGGACATGGACCACCAGGAGGTTCTATTACAGTGCACCATGGGAGATCCCCTCCGCCCCTGTATATGCAAACTCATTTGTGAGATGTGTGTGATTTCAGGCCTGGATTGGTATGTGATGATTGGAAGATTGGTCCTCTGTAGCTCAATTGGTAGAGCATGGCGCTTGTAACGCCAGGGTAGTGGGTTCGATCCCCGGGACCACCCATACGTAAAAATGTATGCATACATGACTGTAAGTCGCTTTGGATAAAAGCGTCTGCTAAATGGCATATTATTATTATATAAGAAGCCGTGATGTGTGTGTAAGTGAGCGAAAGAGAGAGATGGGATAAGGGGACACTTGCCAGGATGTGTGGGAGAGATGTGTTAAGGTCTGCATAGTTTTTTCACTTTCTATAAATACACTCGCTGGTGTGATGTTCTCTCTAGCCCCTTTATATCTGGTGCTAACAATGTGTCCTGAGCTTGTCCACATTATCATTGTCCCTGATAGTGATTGGACCACCTTGATCAGATAACGAAAACCACATCTTAATGCAAGGTGTAACCAGGGCTATAAATATACAATTTTTTGAAAAGGGGCATCAAAGATTAGAACCTGGGACTTTCTGGTCCCCATCCCCAGTGCCTAGTCCACTGCGCCAGTAGTGGTGGGTGGGGGGGGGGGCACCACACTTGTTTTTCACATATTTGAAGCTCTTCAGTAAGTCACTAAAATGTGATTAGTTGTGTAGGGTTGGAGAACAAGTCGCATTGGGATTCGACCTGGCAACCTTGCTGGTCGCAACCCGTGTTTAACCTCTCTGAAAGGGTTTATTTTATTTGACTCACGTAATCTCCATCAACTGACCTGTCATTCGAAGATCTGCCCACTGAGCTTTCATCTAACCCATCAAATCGTCCCCAACTACCTCCAGAGATGCCCAGGAAGAATCAAATGTAATCATTTAAACATCTAAAAATGTGGGCACAATCAGAATGTGGAAAAGATCAGGACACAGGAAACATGTTATCACCAGGTATAAACAGGGGTTTTGATGGGTGGTTGGATCTAGCCTGGCTGACTCGACCCACTTGACTACAGTCAGGAAGACTTTGAGAGCTGGTGTTAGCCAGACTAGGCTGGGTCTTGTTTGAAAAACGAATTCCTTTATAAATAATTTCTACTGCAAGAAAAAATATTTATATCAAATAATTATACTGTACAGAATTGCACATACACATTATTTCCTCAAACTATATCCACTGAATAAAATGATTTATTTTCATAAATAATAAAAGTCAGTCAGAAAACAAGTGAGAACAGTTTGAGTATGTTTCTCCACTGGGCAATGTGCACCATCAGGAAAGCTTTATATACATTATATACTGCACTTCACACAGGTCAGAGGTCAGGCTCAGTGCAATGAGCCTTGTACAACTGATATTCATTGCATTTGATGAACACCTGAGTCAAGTGAATATTCATGGTAAAGAAAGATGAGTTCAGTTGTGCGTTCATTTGTTAAAGTTGGACCCGAGTCAAGCCAGTTGTTCAAGTCAGTACCTGGTAGAGACTAGGGCTGTTACCGTGACCGTATTCAAATCAAATCAAATCAAAATCCGCCACACCAGTGGTCATGAGTCATGACCGCAGTCAAATTTCATGTGACTGTTTAGTCACAGTAACTAGGCTTCTCCAATCTCTGATGCTCATTGGTAGCCTACCAAACTTGCTAACCACCTGGTACTCTGCGCTTTATTGTCCCTCTAATCACTGACATCAACGCAACGTACTGGAACATTTTATCAAACACTTAATGAGAGCCCATGTGCTCATGTTGTGCAACATTTCTTTAGGCTATGCAATTGCTGAGAAAACAGTTTTGATGGCCTCTTAAAAAGAGGAGGATCCCATCAGCTTTCTATGGGCTAGGCCTACTATATTTATTTCTAATATTTAGCACATTGCTTCTCTTTACAACAGGAGTATAGCCTACCTGGCTGGCATGAAAATGAACCACAGGAAAAGCGTCCTCCATGCACTATTTAAGTGCATAGATTAAATGTATTATTATTTTTTGCCAGTTTCGAGACAGGTGCATGTTAATGGTCCATTCTAAATCAAAACAAATTTCACACATGTTATTTAGTATATGTAAAGACCAGATTAAATCAAGAATAGTCTGATGGGTGACAATATTAGCCTATCAGTTGTGAATGATTCCAAGCTTGTGTGCAGTAAGGCAAGAAACAGCGCATTCCTTTTTCAAATTATAGTCGCACACCTCATGTAGCCTAGCCCATAGGCCTATATGTTTTCATAAGGTTTGTATCACAACTAAAGTGGCCAAATAACTTCTTAAAATTAAGCACATTAATCCGCTTTACAACGGGTGTAGAGCCTAACTGGCATACATAGGTAGTGCGTGAGTTTCAAGTTTAGGGAAGATAATTTTCACCACAAAATGCACCTTTATAATAAAGCATCAGATGCATAATCGCATTTGCGGTCACTTTTGAGAATGGTGTTTTCCCGCTAATTGATTGCATTTTGGAACATTTGCGCTTATAGCCTACTGCCGTGTGCACATTGCTGCGCTTATAATGTGAAGAAATAGCCTAATAGTTTATCAAAATGTTAAGCTAAACATTCTGATCTGTTGCATCAGCCTCACTGATTTTAAAAGGTTTTTGATGCTAGTGGTTGTATTAATTTGGGATCCCACAACTGTCCCAGAATGTTTGGAATATTTATCTCGAACAGAAGGACAAGTTGACCAATATAATATGTCAACTTCTGTACTATGAGGGATAATAGACTGACATAGGCTAGTGCTTTTGCTGTTTGTTATGCTTACTCATCTTGTTGGCTGACGAAAAGTAAATGTGGACAGTTCACCCAACAATATGCGCCTCGGAATTTGATAAGGACGCGCGCAGTTGTGTCCCCAATGTGTCTGTCTTCACTTGTAACCTGTGAGAAGGACATGAGATGCCTGTGAGAAGGACCCGATCACGTGACGGGCATTGGCTAATAAGAATTTAGATATCTGAGACAGCCATGTAAGTAAGAGGTGCTTCGGCGCATGCAGCCAGGAGAAGGGAATTATTATTATTATAGTCAGCCCAAGGGCACAACGGCCACTGGCCGCAAAAAGCATGGATTTTGTTAGGGGGCATTACGGCCACACAAAGGGGATTAGACCAGGAAATTCAAGGCATTATCAAGAGCTTGTCAAATTGTGAATGAGAGACTGATGAAGTGTGTACAGCCTGCGCAAAAAACAAAGCAGAGCTCATGCAACTTTTTTCAAATCATCATTAGTCGCATCATGCAGCCTTAGAATGTATTAAAAATCAAAACATATAGGCCAACTTTTGTATCACAACTAAAGTTGCATAAATAACTCTAAATTAAGCATATAGGAGTACCTGTTTCTTTGTTAACCGCTCAACACAGAATAGCCGCATGTTCGCACTCCCTCAAATCGTTTCGAGAAAATAGCTGAATAAAATAGAAAGAATATGTTCAATTGTATTCTTCATTTTATAAAATAATGCCACGGAATTCTAAGCAAATCTTGTTTGCTAAATGAACTAGTGTAGCCCACAGCCATATGGCATAGCCAGATCAGGACCTAACATATGGACAACTCAGAGTATGCTATTCTGTTCTTCTGAAATAGACTACATTTTCTTCATATCATGTTTCTTTAGACCTGTCTAAAATAGATATTGGATTTATTGTGATGGTGTAGGCTATATTAAATTGATTTATTAGACTTTCAGACCAAAGGTCTGCATCAGTGGTTTGTAGGCTATGAGTGGAAGCCAGGAGATGCTAAATATGTTTATGTTAATTAACGGTAAATTTTCGTGAGACGGGCAGTTATTTGCTTGACAATCACCGGCTGACCTCCACAGCCCTAGTAGAGACATGTTCAGGTGAGGTAAAATAAATAAAATGATGTGTGCAGCTGCGGACAAATATGGTCCAATGGCCCAAGAAATGTTGCCATGGTAATGTGGGCAGGTGCTTGGTCTGATCTCCAAGGCACTGGAGGAGAGAGCAGGGTGGGTCCTCATATTGTGGTGGGGGTCCTAGCACCATTGATATACCATATCCACTAGCCAGTGATGCAGCAGTGGATAGTTAGGCCGGGGTGAGTGATGATGAAGAGGTCTGTTTCTAGTACACACTACCACCACTTCTCAAACAGTATCCTGTCCCGGGATAGGCCTAGGCTGAGCAGGGTCTGGACCATGCTCTCTATCATGGGTGGAGGGCCACATAGGTAACACAGAGTGGTGTTAGGGTCGACGTGACGACGCAACCCCCCCTCTGATAGCCTCCCACCTGGGGAAGATCAAATCAACATTTATTAGAAGTGTTGTTTAAAAAAACAAGACATGAAAAATATACATAAGAAAGTACCTAAAACCACTTTCATACCAGTACTGTCATTTGGTGGATTAGCATCCATTTAAATTCATTAAGAATGTATCTGTTTTGCAACCATTGTTTTGCAACCATGGAAGCATATCCAGTTAAACTATAGATCATTTCAAAGCCACAAAGTATACCAACCCGTTGTAGATTATATCAGTAAACATTTGTGGTTGTGTTAAGGTCATTCTGTGGTACTTACGGTTCATGTACGGTTGGAGTTCTTGGTCGATGTCTGCGGTCTGTGCAGTGACGTGGAAGTCACAGGAGAATTTCTCTGGGAATTCCTTACACACGTCTATGATGGTTTTCTGAGAGAAGAAGAGCAGGGACAGGGAGGAACAATTATTGGTCTTATTCCAAAACACACAGGCCTTTTCTCAATCAGATGTGCTTAAGTCTTCTCCTCCGTCCTCTCTCGCCTCCTTTTGAAAAAGGTCAAAGTTAATCGAGGCGAGCCGGCGAGGAGGGGGAACGTGGACGAAAATGCGCTTGTGTGAAATGAGACTCCTTCTCCACTCACACGTCATCAGGCAAATTACGTTTACAGGGTTGGATCCCAAATTAAATGTGTAAAGTAATTAAAACAAAGACATTTTATAGATAAAATAATAAGTAGCATATTGTTTTTAAATGCATGTATGCTTTTCTCCTCCTACAAAACAAAAGCTGATTCAAAGGTTGCAGATTTTAAAACTCTTCCAAGAAGGACTCTGGTATCCTCGATGAAAGGTGGCTATCGAGGAGGGGAGGACACTTCTGTTCGCCTACTAAAGAATTGACATCTCCTCAACCACTTATCGGTTTCCGGGTCACAGAGGAGAAAGGACGGAGGAGAGATGGTGAAGTACAGACTTTTGCCCAAATGAGAAAAGGCCATACATCCTGATACAAATATATACTGATACAAATACTTGCAACCACACTCACAACACACACACCATGTCCTCTCTCTCTCACTCACTCTCAAACACACCTTGAAGAGCAGCTCCTGTGTGTTCTTGGCACTGTAGCAGAGGTGGGTAGAGCCTACGTGGTAGCCCCTCCCTGCGTTAGCGGGGTACTGTCGTAGCAGGTCAGTGGCGTGGAGCAGGATGGAGTATAGAGGGTTAATGCCCACGCCCCCAGCCACCAACAACAGGTCGACAGAGGGGTCAGAGGGCAGGGGGTCAAAGAAGAAGTTTCCGCCCACACGCATCGCTACATGGGAGTCCACGGTGCACTGTGTGGGGGGGGGGAGCGAGAGAGGGGGGAGAGAGGGGGAGGGAGAGAGCAGAGAATAGGGAGCGATCAAGAAGGAGAGTAATTAATTTGATAAATAGCTCAGGTATGAGAATGATCTGCTTTCTGTTCCCTATTGTGGAGAAAAAGTCTCTTTCAGAGATAAAAAAATAACTGCAGCGTTCTGAACAGACGCTGTTACACAAACAATGGGAGAGAGAGATCTTATAGCTGGTAGGGGGGGTTCTTTTGAAGACAACAGCAGCAAATTCCCTCCCACGTTTCCCTCCGTCTTTATACACACCCCTCTCTGCTTTATCTGTTATCACGGTCAAAAGAGTTATCAAACAGCAGGCTCATCAAACGATCCCAGAGCTGAGTGCAGTCTCCAACCACAGTCACACACAGCTTACTGCACAGAGAAGACACAGCTACTGGATGAAATCAGACATACAATACAACCTATAGACAGACAGCAATTAACAAATATAGTGACTAGCAGAAAGACTGAGAAAGCTATTGATTGACTTTGAGGCACTACCGACAAGTGAACATTTTCATTTCAATACACACACACACACACACACACACACACACCTTGGTGTGTATCCAGTGTGCAGGGGGATGTTGTGTGTATTTGACAGCTAGCTCGATGACACCCTCTCTCTGCAGCAGACCTGGACTGGAACACACAGAGAATCCTCCTACCTTCTCCATACCAGGGATAAAGAAGTCCACCCTACACACACACACAGTAGGGAAAAAGAGCACACACTCAAAATGGACAGCAATAAATACAAATTAAAAGTAGTAAATTACAGAAATGGTCTAACGGAAATGTGTCCAATAGCCTAGCGCTGATCCACATTAAATCTTAAATGTACAGAATGTGTCCTTGACGTCTCTACTTTTACATCTGTTTATTTACATACACACCAAAGAAAATGTAATGGCTGAATTTTCCCCCAAAAAAAGTCTTAAAAGAAAAGAAAAGAAAACATCAAGAAGGCAATACTAACTACCTCTCTCTCTCCATCTCCCTCCCTTTATCTCTCTCCATCTCCCAGTCTCCCTCTCCATCTCCCTCCCTGCATCTCTCCCAGTCTCCCTCTCGCCCTCCCCCAGTCTCCCTATCTCTCTGACACATGAACTGAGACACACACACACACACACACACACACACACACACGTTTCTCCCACTACTCCTACCCACCTATTAGAATAGGAATAACATCTTCCTCCGGTCATATGGACTGGAGGTGCTGTAACAAATGCATTTACATCTTTTTACATTCATTACTGAACGCCGGTGTCCAACTCACCGGCCCCTACTGTTTATACACAACACAAACGCCCACCTGCAGTATGGACCTCAGAGTTGCAAGACATGAAATGTCTTGCACTCACTAAATGTAAGTCGCTCTGGATAAGAGCGTCTGCTAAATGACTAAAATGTAAAATGTAAGGGGATGTTTGGGGTTTAAGGCTAGGTTCTATTTGAGGACTTTGTGACATCCGCTGATGTAAAAAGGCTTTCAAAATAAATGTGATTGATATTTACAGTTACAGAAATGAATGTACTTTTCCATTACATAAATTAAACATGTTTATGTATGTGTGCTTTTAGCTACAATACTAATGCCTGTTACTGGGTCTAAAATAACCTCACAAGTTTGAAATCCCTCCAAATGCTTCCTGCCGTTGCCATATCTATTAATCTTTTAAATTATCAACTTATTAATTTACCTTTATTTTAACCGGGGGGGGGGGGGTTGATTGAGAAAACCAATACACACCACAATGACCTGGGAAAGAGTAGCAGGGAAGAGCAACACTAAATGTAACTGTATAGCATAAAGATACCCACAGAGATTCAGTGCAACATTTCCCTCTTGTGCCTGGTAAAGGTATTAAAGTCCTTATAAAATAATTGTTCAAGAGCTGGACAGAATACAGAATGTCATTTCTCTCACTGTGCGTGATGATTGACAGCAGCCTATGTCAGATAATAAACTATGGCCCTGTGGTCCTTTTGTCCAAAAAACTGTACCTCTGTTGATGTGGTTTATTGGCAGTGGTGTAAAGTACTTAAGTAAAAATACTTTAAAGTACTACTTAAGTAGTTATTTGGGGTATCTTACTATTTATTTCTATTTTTGACTACTTTTACTTCACTACATTCCTAAAGAGAATAATGTACTTTTTACTCCATACATTTTCCCTGACACCCAAAAGTACTTGTTACATTTTGACAGGAAAATGGTCCAATTCACTCACTTATCAAGAGAACATCCCTGGTCATAACTACTGCATCTGATCTGGCGGGATCACTAAATACAAATGCTTTGTTTGTAAATTATGTCTGAGTGTTGGAGTGTGCTCCTGACTATATGTAAAAAAATAATATATATATATATATATATATATATATATATATATATATATGACAACGCCCCCCCCAAATACCCTATCTATCAATGATGTATACAAACCCTGGATTGCTGATGCTATGTATTGGCCATTGAGAGGCTTTGAAGCCACCGGTCGGCCATATTGGCACTCCCCAGTAGGAGCAGTGCTCCATAGGAATGAATGGAATTCTACAGTATTTCAATTAAATGTTTCAAGGACAAAATTACATGTATTTAATTATTTTTGGTTGTTGTAGTGGGGACAGTAATATTAATAATCTCTACAAATTATACTTTACGGAAAATGTTTTTACTCTTAACAAAAATATAAACGCAACATGTAAAGTGTTGGTCCCATATTTCATGAGCTGAAATAAAAGATCCCAGAAATGTTCCCCATGCACAAAAAGCTTCTCAAATGTTGTTTACATCCCTGTTAGTCAGCATTTCTCCTTTGCCAAAATAATTCATCCACCTGACAGGTGTGGCATATCAAGAAGCTGATCACACAGCATGATCATTACACAGGTGCACTTTGTGCTGGGGAAAATAAAAGGCCACTCTAAAATGTGCAGTTTTGTCACACAACACAATGCCACAGATGTCTTAACTTTTGAGGGAGTGTGCAATTGGCAAGCTGACTGCAGGAATGTCCACCAGAGCTGTTGCCAGAGAATTGAATCTTAATTTCTCTACCATAAGCCCAGCTCTACCAACGTCATTTTAGAGAATTTGGCAGTACGTCCAACCGGCCTCACAACCGCAGACCACGTGTAACCACACCACCAAAGTTGGTGTCCTCTCCTATCTCTCGTCCGAACTTGGCCATGCTCTCTCCCAGCAGCCCCTCAGCCTGAGGATAGCCAGGGCTATCAGTGGGCAAATGCGTTGATGGTCACTGGCACAGTGGAGAAGTGTGCTCTTCACGGATGAATCCCAGTTTCAACTGTACCGGGCAGATGGCAGACAGCATGTATGGTGTTGTGTGGGCTAGCAGTTTGCTGATGTCAATGTTGTGAACAGAGTGCTCCATGGTGGCGGTGGGGTTATGGTATGTGCAGGCATAAGCTACGGACAACGAACACAATTGCATTTTATCTATGGCAATTTTAATGCACAGAGATACCGTGACAAGATCCTGAGGCCATTGTCATGCCATTCATCTGCCACATCACCTCATGTTTCAGAATGATAATGCACGGCCACGGCCGCAAGGATCTGTACACCATTCCTGGAAGCTGTTCTTCCATGGCCTGCATACTCACCAGACATGTCACCCATTGAGCATGTTCGGAATGCTCTGGATCGACAGCGTGTTCCAGTTCCCGCCAATATCCAGCAACTTCGCACATCCATTGAGGAGTGGGACAACATTCCACAGGCCCTACTTTTTTTTTTTTTAAGGTATCTGTGACCAACAGATGCATATCTGTATTCCCAGTCATGTGAAATCCATAGATTAGGGCCTAATTTATTTATTTCAATTACCTGATTACCTCAATTACCTAAAATCTTTGAAATTGTTGCATATTGCATTTATATTTTTGTTCAGTGTATATATTTTTTCATTTTTATGTTTAGGTCACATAATATAATTTAAAAGTATGCATTAAGGTGTCTGTAATAGAATAAATGTGGCAAAAACAAATGTAGACATTAATACATGTATTTCTGTAGCTTCCAAAATATGTTTTACAATGGTGGGGGAGTGCCAAGATGGAGGCAAGGTGGCTTCAACACAGCACACCCCATCAGTCATCTAGTGGTCCTCTGTAGCTCAGCTGGTAGAGCACGGCGCTTGTAACGCCAGGGTAGTGGGTTCGATCCCCGGGACCACCCATACGAAAAAATTTATGCACACATGACTGTAAGTCGCTTTGGATAAAAGCGTCTGCTAAATGGCATATTATTATATTATTATTATTATATATAAATCATTGGTATCTACTAGGGGTGTAAAGGTTCACCAAACCCATGGTTTGGTACATATTGCGGTTTTGGGGTCTCGGGTTCGGTTAAGGTACAGCAAAAATAAAATTCCAACAGTTACTGTAGTTAATTTTTGTTTATTAGGCAAAATACGCTATATTAAAAAGCACCCTATTTGTGGCCCAAGTCCAGTTTCTGTGACATCATTCACAATGTTCCTGGCATTGTCTGTTGTGACAGGGATTGTTATGTTGGGCCTCAAGTAGAGGTCTAAAAAATTGGACCCATTCCTAAATGGACCTGGGGCTTTCCCAAATATGCATAAATACATTTTTCAATATAGAGACCCGTTACAAACGGACCCGAAGACGACCAGTTCCGTATAGATGTGGTTGAATTCGAGTGAGGAAAGCAGCAGAAAAGTCAATTTGTAAGCAATTTTATTAGCCAGAGCTGATACAGTGCGAGCGAGAGCAGGCGGAGGAGCGACCTTGCGGTGTGTACTGTGAGCGAGGCAGCAACCAAACGAGACAATTTGCGCTAGTAGACTAACTTCTAGCTTGTCATAGCTAGGTTATTTATCATCCAATATGATTACGTAGTACCTGTCTTGACTGTAACAAACCGATAGAAGCTAGTTGGCTAAGATGGCGAGCTAAATTAGCTAGCCGGGCTAATTGAGTCTGCATGCGCTTTCTTCCTGTCCTACAGTTACAAATAACACCTCCATTCAGATTATGAAATAACAGCCTACCTGTTGGCTCTTGTTCGTTGTAGCATATACTTCTCATTTATCTTTGAATTCCATCATTTTAATTCAATTTTCCATTGATTAGATAATCTCCTAATTTGCTTTGCCATATAAGGAGGCTCTATGTCTGTAGTGGCGCTTTGATGACTTGTGATTGGCCACTCTGCATAGGCTTTCCTCGTTGAGCAGTGGAGAACATACTATAAAACGTTTTATCCACAACTCTCTGTCCATCGCCGTTGTAATCGACTGTGAAGCCAAAATGTTCCCAAACTGGAGATTTAAACGATGGAGGATCCTCCAATTCTGGTTTATCGATCCCACCCTTCGCCATCTACAGAGTTCCCGGTTGCGCTTCACAAAAGGATAGTTTGAAATCCACCAGTTAAGACTATAATTTTTATTACAACGTGCGCATAGGCTGTAGTTGTTTTAACGGAATAGCCTACAATGTTTTTTCAGCTCAGATTTACTCACAAAGCAATGGCATACAATGCAGTGTAGGCATAGCACAGCCCTAGTGTTATTTTTGATCATTTTTATATATATATTTTTTATAATGTATTAATTCGGGTTCAAAGTACGGACCGAACCGAGGTCCACGTACCGGACGGTTTGGTACGAATACGTGTACGGTTGCAGCCCTAGTATCTACCCATACCTACCCCTTAGCACTTCTGCAGATCTGAAAGGATTGGATAGGTGTAAGCAGCCTCTCCCCATAGCCATTGGTGTAAATGCTGTATTCAGAATCCTTATAATGAGCTATGAATGTAGCCAAACAAATGAGAGTACTGTACTACTCACCACTGGCCAGCTCTGAAAGTGAAGTCTGGATGGACAGCTAGCCGGAGGCGTTTCACTGTCTCAGACTCGTCCATGATGCCACATACCCGTGCCGGATATACACCCTGGACACAAACACACTTTACTAATTAAATAACCTGTCAATCAATCATGAATATGAACAATTGTAAACTGTGGTAATAGTTAAGACTCCGTACACTACTAACCTATAGCATAAACAGACAAGGAAAACTGTCTCAGCAATTGACAGACTCGTGATAAAACACAGAATGTTGCCCAAAACTGTTTTCAGTTTTGGTTTGCATAAGCTAGTTTTGTTGCTACAGTATGAACACAGCTGGGTGGTCACTCACATCTTGTCTGTAGTTGCTGGCTGTCCTCTCTAGATGGTCCATTTGTCTTCTGGATGACATTTTCCTGAAAAGACAACAAAAATGCCTACTTCATTTGAGTCTGTCTGTACCAGAAAATAATGTAGCCAAGCTGATCACCTCAAAGGTTATCTAAGGCTATAACCTCAATGGCCCCTATAAAGAGACTGCAGTCTTACCTGTGTGCGGATGTCAAAACACAAACGGTAAATTGACTTTTACCTATTGTCAGTTGGGTCCAACAAACTTTAAGTAAATCATAATCTAAAAACAGGTGAGTAGTTCTGGGTGTATGGAAGCTTTGGTGCTGGAAAATAAGTGGCAAAAGTGTAGTAGCCGGACAATCAGTCCCAGCCTGCCCTCTCCTGACCCCGCAACAATGACAGGGGTGAACGGCCACCTGACCTCAACAATACTCGACATATTCGAGATGGAACTCAACTCACCTTGTGATCGAACAAGGGCACAATACACGGAACCGGCGTAGCAGAACACCGGACGCCCCCTGCAATGTGACGCTTCGAGCAGCGGTGGACAGTATACATGGGACGCTCATTGCGCTCTGGTGCGATAGGATGTCACTTCACCTTAACTTTATAGAGGAAACCTATTGCAAAAGAGAGGATGAGATAAATGTGTTGTTGGTTGGTGCTGTTGTGATGGCCAGTTATAGGTGGTATAAACCAGATTGACAGATTACAGCAAGCAGGTGACAGTCTCTTTCTTGTCACCCGGCATCTCAACATTTATGTCTGATGTAACTAGCACGATAACCAACTGTGCAACCACAGCGTTTTCAAACCAGAGAAAACCATAGCATGGCTAACTCAGTCAGTCCAATTACACAACCCTATGCCCTCTCACATTACAGCAAACAGCTATCGTAACGTTGCTTAGTCTTGAATGCATTCCCTACGGAATATAGCTAGCTAGTCTCTCTGAAAACAAAGTCTTACCAATGTGATGAGAATTTGTTTCACATGATCTTCTTCATTGTACAAGTTAGTTAGATAACCTTCCTGTAGAAGATTTGTTGACCCCGGAAGTGATTGACGGCACGCTCTTTCGTGTGCTCATATTTTCGCGGAGACTGCGCAAGCCACATTCAACATTGTTCCTAGCCAGAATAGATTCCGACCCTACGCTTCCTTACAGCTGCACTTGGGTCGGACAGGCTTCATGTTTAGATTAAGACACTAAGGAGCCAGCGCAAGAAATGGTTTGTAAAATGTACCTCAATCCAGGGATGAGAAATTGTGTTGTCACCTTATCCCAACTGGTCTTTCCACAGAATTCAAAGGAAGGTGGGGACTCAAATCTACAAGATGAATAACAAACCTGGGAAAAAGCAATGTAACAGAACCAAGAGGACTAAACAGTCCAACATTAATGTGGTTACTTTCAACTCCATCCAAATAAAAAAGAACCAACATACCTTGAAAGGAAGGAAATGGGTGACCGACTGTTCTAAACGTTCCTTGCTAGGAAGCAAAAGCACATCAAGTATTTTTTAAATTTTATTTAACCTTTATTTAACCAGGTAAGCCAGTTGAGAACAAGTTCTCATTTACAACTGCGACCTGTCCAAGATAAAGCAAAGCAGTGCGATAAAAACAACAACACAGAGTTACATATGGGGTAAACATAACTTAAAGTCAAAAATACAACAGAAAATATATATACAGTGTGTGCAAATGTAACAAGTTATGGAGGTAAGGCAATAATAGGCCATAGTGCAAAATAATTACAATTTAGTATTAACACTGGAATGATATATGTGCAAGAGATGATGTGCAAATAGAGATACTGGGGTGCAAATGAGCAAAATAAATAACAATATGGGGATGAGGTAGTAACATCAAACTACTTCCAACCAACCGACCAGGTGTAGCATGATATCGAGGAGTCATGTGGTGATACTAACAAGATTGTCTAATGTAAGAGGAATTAGTAGTCTTTCCCAACATGTGACAGTTAGTAACTAGACAAGAGCAATTAGATGGTTGGTTTATACTTACTGTGGAGACGGATGCCAGGAGGGATGAAGACAACAATCAAGGTAGGACATACTGTTCATACATACTCCAGTCTTGTCACAACACTGCAGTTTAAATGGGTGATTCATTTGTGAACATTTTAATTTGATATCAACATGGGATTATTTATTATTGAATTAGGAAAATGACATTTTTTCATTTTTGTTTGTTCCCCCTCTTCTCATATCCATCGGTTGTATTTCTTTCTCTACCCTCCTTCCACCTCTATCCCTCCTTCCACCTCTATCCCTCCTTCTACCTCTAACCCTCCTTCCACCTCTATCCCTCCTTCCACTTCTCTATCCCTCCTTCCACCTCTATCCATCCTTCCACCTCTCTATCCCTCCTTCCACCTCTCTATCCATCCTTCCACCTCTCTATCCATCCTTCCACCTCTCTATCCATCCTTCGACCTCTATCACTCCTTCCACCTCTCTATCCCTCCTTCCACCTCTCTATCCATCCTTCCACCTCTCTATCCATCCTTCGACCTCTATCACTCCTTCCACCTCTCTATCCCTCCTTCCACCTCTCTATCCATCCTTCCACCTCTCTATCCATCCTTCGACCTCTATCACTCCTTCCACCTCTCTATCCCTCCTTCCACCTCTCTATCCATCCTTCCACCTCTCTATCCATCCTTCGACCTCTATCACTCCTTCCACCTCTCTATCCCTCCTTCCACCTCTCTATCCATCCTTCCACCTCTCTATCCTTCCTTCCACCTCTCTATCCCTCAGTCTCTTCTCTGCAGTTCTTTCCTTGTCCACACTGCACCATCTCCTTCACTGACTGTTACTTCCTGGAGAACTACATCAAGACCAAACACCAGAAACAGTACCTTGCCATGTTGAAAAGCCACGTCTCAAAGAGTCAAACAGTGCACGCCCTCACAAACAGCTGTTCCCACTGCACCCTGCTGAAGTACTGGAAGAATTTGCACAAAATTGCAGTTTTTCGCATCGATGGACATATCAGTTGCGCCGACTGTGGGAAGAGCTTTGAGAATTGCTGGGGACTGGGGCTTCACCGGTGTTACGAACCAGAGGGCTCTAAACCTAAGGACACTAAGCCTGTGGTCTGTCTGGAAGTCTGCTTCCATTGCTCAGAGTGTGGGAAAATCCTCAGTACTCCTATGAGCCATTCACAGACGCATCCACACCAGAGAGAAGCCTTACGAATGCAAGGAGTGCGGCAAGTGCTTCTCAGAGAACAGCAGTTACCGTTATCACTTGTCAATACACTCAGGGCTCAAGTTGTTCAAATGCCAGGACTGCGGGAAGGCTTTCAAACAGAAGTCACTCCTCTGGACTCACCTGTCTGTTCACACTGGTGAGAGGAAGTTCTCCTGCTCCCAATGCGACAAGCGGTATGCAAGCAGGGCATATCTGACGTTTCACCTGCAAATACACTCAGGGGAGAGACCTTTCTGTGTGTGGTAAAGACTTTGCTGACAAGGTTTATCTGAAAACACAACTGAAGATCCACAGCAATGTGAAAAACTACCACTGTGGGATTTGTGGGCGGGAGTTCTTGAGGCTTGGGTTGTTGAAGTTATGCATGCACTCACATACCGGGGAGAGGCTCTACCACTGCACAGTGTGCGACAAGCAGTTTTTTAGACTCTCACACTTGAAAAAACCATTATCTGACTTACACAGGTGAGAAACCATACACCTGTAATGAGTGTGGTAAAAGCTTCACTCAGTCTGGGGATCTGTCTAAACACAAGCTCCTGCGCACTGGGGAGAAGCCATTTTAATTCCTTGAATGCCCCAGCCGGTTTAACCGCTATGATTCTCTGACCAGTCACATGAGGACCCACACTCACCTTGATATGAAGCAATACTCCTGCCAAGAATGTGGGAAGAGCTTTTATGAACAGAGTCACATCAAATTCCACATGAAGACCCACACAGGGGAGAGACCGTATCCCTGCCCCCACTGCCTTTTCAGCTTCACTCGGAAAGCACACCTCTCCAAACACCTGCCTAGATGTCTTAAATGATCATGATTGGCCTTTTTTTATATAACACCTTTATAATGAAACTCATTGTATTCATAGGAATCACTTGGAGACGAATCCTCCACAATGAAATGATAACGTTATACAGTACAGTGGCTTGCGAAAGTATTCTGGGCTTTGACTAGGCCATTCCAAGACATTTAAATGTTTCCCCTTAAACCACTCAAGTGTTGCTTTAGCAGTATGCTTAGTGTCATTGTCCTGCTGGAAGGTGAACCTCTGTCCCAGTCTCAAATCTCTGGAAGACTGAAACAGGTTTCCCTCAAGAATTTCCCTGTATTTAGCGCCATCCATCATTCCTTCAATTCTGACCAGTTTCCCAGTCCCTGCCGATTAAAAACATCCCCACAGCATGATGCTGCCACCACCATGCTTCACTGTGGGGATGGTGTTCTCGGGGTGATGAGAGGTGTTGGGTTTGCGCCAGACATAGCGTTTTCCTTGATGGCCAAAAATCTAATTTTTAGTCTCATCCAACCAGAATACCTTCTTCCATATGTTTGGGGAGTCTCCAACATTCCTTTTGGCGAACACCAAATGTGTTTGCTTATTTTTTTGTTTAAGCAATGGCTTTTTTCTGGCCACTCTTCCGTAAAACCCAGCTCTGTGGAGTGTACGGCTTAAAGTGGTCCTATGGACAGATACTCCAATCTCCGCTGTGGAGCTTTGCAGCTCCTTCAGGGTTATCTTTGGTCTCTTTGTTGCCTCTCTGATTAATGCCCTCCTTGCCTGGTTCGTGAGTTTTGGTGGGCGGCCCTCTCTTGGCAGGTTTGTTGTGGTGCCATATTCTTTCCATTTTTTATTAATGGATTTAATGGTGCTCCGTGGGATGTTCAAAGTTTCTGATATGTTTTTATAACCCAACCCTGATCTGTACTTCTCCACAACTTTGTCCCTGACCTGTTTGGAGAGCTCCTTGGTCTTCATGGTGCTGCTTGCTTGGTGGTGCCCCTTGCTTAGTGGTGTTGCAGACTCTGGGGCCTTTCAGAACAGGTGTATATATACTGAGATCATGTGATAGATCACGTGACACTTAGATTGCACACAGGTGGACTTTATTTAACTAATTATGTGACTTCTGAAGGTAATTGTTTGCACCAGATCTTATTTAGGGGCTTCATAGCAAAGGGGGTGAATACAAATGCATGCACCACTTTTCCGTTATTTATTTTTTAAATTTCACTTCACCAATTTGGACTATTTTGTGTATGTCCATTACATGAAATCAATTTCAATTACAGGTTGTAATGCAACAAAATAGGAAAAACGCGAAGGAGGATGAATACTTTTGCAAGGTATAGTCATGGAATACATTGGAACATCATTAGTAGATTATAGTTGCATTGTTTGATTTACGGACACCCTTTTTGTACTTATTTCATTTAATATGTACAGAAGATGATTGTATGCTGACTCTCCTGGTAATACAGTGGGGAGAACAAGTATTTGATACACTGCCGATTTTGCAGGTTTTCCTACTTACAAAGCATGTAGAGGTCTGTAATTTTTATCATAGGTACACTTCAACTGTGAGAGACGGAATCTAAAACAAAAATCCAGAAAATCACATTGTATGATTTTTAAGTAATTAATTTGCATTTTATTGCATGACATAAGTATCTGATCACCTACCAACCAGTAAGAATTCCGGCTCTCACAGACCTGTTAGTTTTTCTTTAAGAAGCCATCCTGTTCTCCACTCATTACCTGTATTAACTGCACCTGTTTGAACTCATTACCTGTATAAAAGACACCTGTCCACACACTCAATCAAACAGACTCCAACCTCTCCACAATGGCCAAGACCAGAGAGCTGTGTAAGGACATCAGGGATAAAATTGTAGACCTGCACAAGGCTGGGATGGGCTACAGGACAATAGGCAAGCAGCTTGGTGAGAAGGCAACAACTGTTGGCGCAATTATTAGAAAATGGAAGAATTCAAGATGACGGTCAATCACCCTCGGTCTGGGGCTCCATGCAAGATCTCACCTCGTAGGGCTTCAATGATCATGAGGAAGGTGAGGGATCAGCCCAGAACTACATGGCAGGACCTGGTCAATGACCTGAAGAGAGCTGGGACCACAGTCTCAAAGAAAACCATTAGTAACACACTACGCCGTCATGGATTAAAATCCTGCAGCGCACGCAAGGTCCCCCTGCTCAAGCCAGCGCATGTCCAGGACCGTCTGAAGTTTGCCAATGACCATCTGGATGATCCAGAGGAGGAATGGGAGAAGGTCATGTGGTCTGATGAGCTAAAAATAGAGCTTTTTGGTCTAAACTCCACTCACCGTGTTTGGAGGAAGAAGAAGGATGAGTACAACCCCAAGAACACCATCCCAACCGTGAAGCATGGAGGTGGAAACATCATTCTTTGGGGATGCTTTTCTGCAAAGGGGACAGGACGACTGCACCGTATTGAGGGGAGGATGGATGGGGCCATGTATCGCGAGATCTTGGGCAACAACCTCCTTCCCTCAGTAAGAGCATTGAAGATGGGTCGTGGCTGGGTCTTCCAGCATGACAACAACCCGAAACACACAGCCAGGGCAACTAAGGAGTGGCTCCGTAAGAAGCATCTCAAGGTCCTGGAGTGGCCTAGCCAGTCTCCAGACCTGAACCCAATAGAAAATCTTTGGAGGGAGCTGAAAGTCCGTATTGCCCAGCGACAGCCCCGAAACCTGAAGGATCTGGAGAAGGTCTGTATGGAGGAGTGGGCCAAAATCCCTGCTGCAGTGTGTGCAAACCTGGTCAAGACCTACAGGAAACGTATGATCTCTGTAATTGCAAACAAAGGTTTCTGTACCAAATATTAAGTTCTGCTTTTCTGATGTATCAAATACTTATGTCATGCAATAAAATGCAAATTAATTACTTAAAAATCATGATAAAAATTACAGACCTCTACATGCTTTGTAAGTAGGAAAACCTGCAAAATCGGCAGTGTATCAAATACTTGTTCTCCCCACTGTAACTGCCAATAAAGGTGACGATGCCTGTTCTATCAGTCAGCGAATTGATCAGTCTGCCATCTGAATTGTCGAAATTGTGTAGGCCTAGGTTACTTCTGAGCTTGGAGACGTTTATACATTGAAACATCCACACACCATAATATTGATACTTCCGTTAGATATTTTATTCAGGATGAAAAATCTTGATTGTTTACACTACTACTAAATTATTCTAAATTATTCAGTCACCATTAAGCCTACATTATAGACTATTTGCCAACAAAATCTGGCAATTTCATAATATAGAATATTCCTTTATGTGCAGCATCATACAAAATCATACAGCTTATTCCCTCTGTGATTTATGGTTAAATTATGTCCACACCATAGAACTTGCATTATATGTCCTTAAAACAAAATAATCTAAATACAGGCAAGATGCTGATTCGACAAGCCATTGCAAAGAGTATACAGACATACAGTATAGCCACATCAGCATTGCTATTGAATGATTGCATTTAGCCTTAAACCTCTTGCCCATAGAGACCCACTTATGAAACTGGCTCCTTACAACATGCACTTTTATTATGTGCCTTTAGGCAATGTACTGTAAACTGTACTTCAAGACAGTCTCAGGCCCCTTTAGGGACAACTAGCTGCTCGAAGTGCCACTGTTGCCGGGGCTGATGGGCGCAGGGGCGCAGGAACAGACCCCTCTGGGTAGCGTTGGCCCCTCTCTGGTGACCTCCCGTGGCCCTCTGCTGCTCACCCCCCTCCTCCTTCACAGCTTCCAGACATCTCTGGGTCTGCAGGTGAACCACCTGGCCACTCAGCTGAAGAAACAAATCTATAAATTATTAATTGTCTGTATTATTATTGTATCTGTGTCAAATTACAAACACCTAAATAAGTAACATTTCATACAGCTATATTATTCTTTTTTGTTTGTTTATTTTGTAGAAGTTTGCATGCATGACCTTTGCCCCTTCACTGACCTTGATGACCCTCCACTGTGGTTTGCTGCGGGGCGGCTGATGGGCGGGGCAGGGTGTTAGTACCACCCTCTCCCCTTGGGCGTCGAAACACAGCCGCCCCGCTGGGCCCCACCGCACCTCTCCCATGGAGTTCAGCTCACAGTGCTGAAGAAAGAACAGACAGGGGAGTAAAACTTTAGTCTTCATCACTACATCAGCATCATGATCTTTTAATTTAGGATCTGCTCTCACTGTCTCGAATATCATCATCATCACCATTGTCATCACCGTCGTTATTGTTGTTGTTGTTGTCATGGTTACCTGGTATCCATTGCCACTGCAGGGTGCTATGTCCATAGTGCCGCCCTGTGGACCCCGTCCTCCAGGGTAATCCGCACAATAGCCAGTGCCAACATTGTACAGCTTCAAACATACAGGCACAATATGTTACATGATACATTCATGTTCAACATACAGCACAAGAATAACACAACATATTAGTGAATGTATAAGGATAAAAATATAATGGCTATACAAGTGTGTGTATGGGGGTGAGTCATACCTCCCCTGAGAGTGAAGGTCTGTCCTGGGGTATATAGAGGTCTGGGTAGATGTTAGTCAGGAACCAGTGGAAGTTTCGGCAGCCCAGTCTCTTCTTCAGTCTGACCAGCTCTGTAATGTTAGGACTCTCAGACTACACATGGAACAGGACACACACACATTCATTTGAGATCAATGCCAATCTCTTTCTCACACACATACAGACATGTGCGCACACACACACACTGATTTTACACACATTAAGAACACCTGCTCTTTCCACGACAGACTGACCAGGTGAAAGCTATGATCCCTTATTGATGTCACCAGTTAAATCCACTTCAATCAGTGCAGATTAAGGGGAGGAGACAGGTTAAAGAAGGATTTTTAAGCCTTGAGACATGTATTGTGTATGTGTGCCATTCAGAGGGTGAATGGGCAAGACAAAATATTTAAGTGCCTTTGAACAGGGTATGGTAGTAGGTTCCAGGTGCACCTGTTTGTGTCAAGAACTGCAACGCTGCTGGGTTTTTCACACTCAACAGTTTCCAGTGTGTATCAAGAATGGTCCACCACCCAAAGGACATCCAGCCAACTTGACACAACTGTGGGAAGCATCCCTGTAGTCCATGCCCTGATGAATTAAGGCTGTTCTGAGAGCAAAAGGTGGTGCAACTCAATATTAGGAAGGTGTTCCTAATGTTTTGTACACTCAGTACACACACACACACACACACACACACGCCTATAGATATAAATGCATGCATACACACACCCTACCTGCCTGATGAAGTGAGCCAGCGTATCTCTCTTATAGTAGATCTTCCTGAAGGCGTCCAGCCAGGTGTCAGCGATGCGGATCTTGTTCCTCTGGAGGACGTCCTGGTCAGGGAGGGGATAGGGCTGGTGATGGCGCCCCAGGTGAGCCACTCTGGAGCAGGGGACCACCTCCATGGAGCCCCCACACAACCACACCTGGACCGGGACAAACAGACAGACAAAGACAGGGAGATGCCATCACCTTTTCTTTGTTGGAATATGACTTTACCCAGATGAGCAGCCCAATCCACAGAAGCCTTTCAGTATCATCAGCATATCTAAGCTCTACAGACACAGACAGGTGTGTCTCCACTCAGACTCCATGACTTTTGCTACAGTGTCAAAATGTCCTTCAAATGAAGATGTATGTGGAAATCTTAAATTGCTAGGGTCACAAAAGCTTTCCCATTCACTGACACCTGTCTGCATATACATTATCAACCAACAGTACACTGCGATCCTATTCCTATTTTTGCTCATCATTCTAAACCAACATTTCAATGAAACATTCGAACATTCCATGATGTACATAAAAATTGCTTAACGGCACCCTATTCGCTAGTGCACTTCTATTGACCAGGGCCATATGTAACATGCTACATAATCCTCCTAGTGAGACATTCTGTCACCAATCAGCCTTTAGCATTCCATATATAACCTCCCCGCTTTACCCTGATGGACAGCTCCATACACTTTAGGGCACTATTCAATCCGCATTGCGGAAGTTCAGCTTTACAGCCGGATTAAAATTTAAAGGCAATGATCCCGCTTTAGCGGAGATTGTATTCACGGTAAACGCTGCATATGTCGTCTCAATCGGCAAAATTACCTTACATTTCTATTGCGGAACCTGTAACGCTTCAGAGCCCTTAGTCATCATCATTGTGCACAAAACATCCATTGAATTATTCAAATAATTGTCACTGAGGACTATTTTTTCCCCCATCACTCACATCCCAAGATATTTAACATTCTATATTCATCCAATGTCTGGCATGTTTTTGGATGACGTGATGACGTCTTCACTGCTGGAGCTGCTCCATGCGCACTGAGTGCTAGTGCGCATGTGAAGTTGGGCCATATGCAACCCGGATATAGCCGGTCCGTGAATCGGCGAATGCAAACGTTAGTAGATTACGTTGAAAACAACGGTCGGACATTGAGGACGAAATCTCCAGTTCTTATTACAACTCAATCGTCATAACCTCCCTTCTTTACCCTGATCGACAACTCCATATGCTCCGCCCCCCAGAACAGCATGCCCGGGTCATAACCTCCCACGCTCTGGAAGAAGTGTCTGTCAATCGCTAAGACCCCGCCCACCAACGCCGGACTCCTATAGGACAATGAAAGGAGAGGAAATATCAAAAGAGTAGTCAGGGATAGATACTACTAGGGGTCGATTTTGAGCTGGACATGTCTGTAATCTATGTACTTCACTGTAGTATTCCAGAGGTCAGACTATATTTACTGGACAGGCTCCACTGGTGAATCCTCGTTTTTCTGCTTTTCCTGTTGGGACAGGGTTTCCCAGTTGAAGTCCAGTCTCCAGTCAAACACTCCCCTGTGTGGCCACTGGGCGGCGTTGTACCCGAACGTCTGCCAGTCTATCACGTCTATGATGGGGGACACCACTCTGGTCCTGGGGATGGGAGGAGATCGACACTGGGCACAGAGGAAACTCATATAACTCCTATAACTAGATCAGATACATTTTCTCGCAATGAAGATTAAAACAAAAACCTAAAATGTTATTAGATGGATGTAAATCTGCAGACAGATTGATCGATTTTTTTTATTTTTCTTCAATAACCTATCATTTCTAAAAACACCATGGAAGTAGAGCAGGGAGTCAGGAAGGGAATTAATGGGTTTGATTGATTGAGAGAGAGAGAGAGAGAGAGAGACCCAACCAAATCATGAGAAAACAAAAAGAGAATTACTTGACACATTGGTAAGAATTAACAAAAAACACAGCAAACTAGAATGCTATTTGGCCCTAAACAGAGAGTACACAGTGGCAGAATACCTGACCACTGTGACCGACCCAAACTTAAGGATAGCTTTGACGATGTACAGACTCAGTGAGCATAGCCTTGCTATTGAGAAAGGCTGCCGTAGGCAGACCTGGCTCTCAAGAGAAGACAGGCTATGTGCACACTGCCCACAAAATGAGGTGGAAACTGAGCTGCACTTCCTAACCTCCTGCCAAATGTATGACCATATTAGAGAGACATATTTCCCTCAGATTACAGAGATCCACAAAGAATTCAAAAACAAATCCAATTTTGATAAACTCCCTTATCTACTGGGTGAGAAACCACAGTGTGCCATCACATCAGCAAGATTTGTGACCTGTTGCCACAAGAAAAGGGCAACCAGTGAAGAACAAACACCATTGTAAATACAACCCATATTTATGTTAATTTATTTTCCCATTTGTACTTTATTCTATTTGCACATTATTACAACACTGTATATATACATAATATGACATTTGAAATGTCTTTATTCTTTTGGAACTTCTGAGTGTAATGTTTACTGTTAATATTTATTGTTTATTTCACTTTTGTTTACTATCTACTTCACTTGCTTTGGCAATGTTAACATACAGTTTCCCATGCCAATAAAGCCCTAAAAATTGAAATTGAAATTAATTGGAGAGAGAGAGAGAGAGAGAGAGAGAGAGAGAGAGAGAGAGAGAGAGAGAGAGAGAGAGAGAGAGAGAGAGAGAGAGAGCTGGAGTAGCGCCAGGCGGCAAGATAAGGACTCTGTTTAATCAACTAGTCTAAATGGCTGCTACCCTGCTGGACACAGCTCAGCAAGCAAGCTACCATGGTCCGGAGGCAATTAAGGATTGGATATAATACACAGAGACAGATTCACACAAACACAGACATACATTGTGCCATTGTGTGTATGTGTGTGTGTAGCCTGGTTTGTGTACCTGTCCTGTGCCACTCTCTCCAATAGCGGTTCCAGCCAGCCCCTGTGGCACTCGCAGTGTGAGTCCATGAAGACCAGTGCCTCCCCCACAGCTCTGGCTGCACCCAGAGAGCGACACCCTGCCACGCCCAGACGCCACGTGCTGCGGACCAGACGCACCCCTTCCAGTCGCGACACATACTCACTCAGCACACTCTTCAGGTGACCTACAGATAAGGGAGGCTGGGTCAGGGTCAGGTGACCTACAGATAGGGGAGGCAGGGTCAGACACAAATGCCCAATTCCAAATTAACCCCAGGGATGGATGTGTACAGTAATAACATGGGCATAGCGCCACTCAGATTATAGGTGGAATAGGTGGACGTTTGGTCATATTGCTAAGATTTATCCTTTCAGACAAGTGCAAAGGGTTTGGGGCACTTGGGGGCTAGGGGTCTATTCAGAATCTGCCACTATAAAATAGTTTAATATGGTGGGAGTAGAGTGAACAAGTTTCGTCTGATATGCAGTTATGTTGTAGTGGTACTTTAGACTAATTAGATACACCTCGTGCCTATTGTTTGAGCACTGTCTTCTTCACGCACCATGCTGACTGAGGTCGTCTACGAGCAGGACCTCGCGCAGGTGCTCCTTTGGCGCAGTGTCGAGCACGCTGTGCACGGTGCGGAGGAGCGTGGACCAAGCCTCGTCATGGAAACATATCACCACGCTCGCGGACGGCAGCGACTCACTGTAACGCTCAACGAGGCACCTGTCAAAGCATTCCCATTGATTGACAGGAGGATAGACGCACGAGTAATTACGCACGAACCCATTAGCTTTACTAAACAATATACCATATTTCGTAGTTAGTGAGATCTTGAAGATAGACTACATATTTGTCATTGATAGCTCTTTTCGACTGTATCTAGTTATTTTGGATACATTGCTGAAGAGCCCTTTTGGCGTGGTGCGCTCCTTGGGCACATGCAGGGCACTTACGAAGGATGGCGAGCCTCGGGCAATCTGCGGTGCAGTGAGATCCGTTCGCTCACCACTTCGTTGAAGCCGTATGTCTGCAGAGCAGACTTCTCCATGTCCCTCTCTAGCCCCTCCAGCTTCAGCCGCACCGGTCTCCCCATATCCCCGTGCGTCGGTAGCACCGGGACCGCTGATTCCTTCTTGGCGCTCGATATAACCACCCGGTAACTCCCCTTCCTCGGCGGCGGAGCTGGGTCCCTCATCTGGGTTGAGGGCACGAAGAGAAGCTGGTCCTCCTGCAGCGAGCTCAGCGGCGCGAGACCGAGATCGTGCTCCTGTTTGAGCCGGTCCCAGGAGTCCACGATCTCCTCCAGGTCCGGTGGACCGGAGAGCCGCTGGAGGGGACGGCGGGGCGAGTTGGGCGGTGTCTGGGTCTGATCCCGAAAGACCAGGTCCATGAGGGCCAGTGTGGCCACGGATAGAGCGAGGATAAGTAACCAGAGACAGAGCATCATCCGCCGGCAGGGTCTGGGTCTGCTTCCAAGCCTCATGGTGAGCCGGAGAGAGAGAGAGGAGAGGGACGGGTTCACATAGAGAAGTCAGCGCTGAATCTTATTTCCCTCATCAAATTTGACTGGGGACAACATGGTCAGATGCTTCACCTTTTGGCTACAACTTTTTAACCATGACGCTTCAGGCTTGCAATGGATAGTCCGTAATCATGTCCAAATGGAATTACGTATAGATGTTGTTCTTACATTTTTGTCCATAATTCCTCCACTGTGTCCTGCAGCTCTGAACACCTTAGCGCTTCGCTTCAGCTCCGACAAATGTGGTTTCCAGTTATGTCCCTTGTTCCGTGATACTCATTGCTGTGGGAGTGAAGTGCGTAAAATATGTCCTTCCACCGCGCCCCTGTGGTCCTAACGCGAGATTTAACCCCTGCAAGAATAGCGGATTTGAAGGGCACACCTGTTCAAACACTTTGCTTGCTCTATCACTGTAATGACTAAATGACAGTTTAAGAAATCAATATCCAGGCCTATAGCCCTATAAGTGAACAGAAAATAGAGGCAAAGAACAAAAGCATATTAAATCATCCAAATCTGTCATAAGAAAATATTTAGCCATCATTATATCTGATGTCAACTTCAGAAACAAGGGGCAACATAAACGGAGAACAGACACTCATTGGCTCGATTCAATCCTTAGCACTGTAGACCTGAGCGAAAGCGTGATAGAAATGTTAAGTGTTCCTGCGTTCGGAGACTACATTCACGGTATAATGCTGCATATGTCGGCTCAATCGGAAATTACCTTTACATTTCAATCGCGCTCCAGCGCTGATTTTCAGCGCTACGGATTGAATCGAGCCCATAGTTTATTTGTGTGTGCGAGTACTGCGCCCCTCCTCGCCGCGAGCTCGAGGCAGCATCACTCCCCGGACACACATCAGAGTTATTGCCCGCGCCAGCTGGCCAACGGCCTCGCGGTCCCATGACTGGCAGTTTGCGCTGTGAAGCAGGCGGCTGCAGACTCGATCTCTCTGGTTTTCACATTGATTCTTGGCAGCCACCGCGGATGTTTTCTTCCCCGCTGTTGGAAGCAGGGTGCCTGGCTCCACACGGGCCCAAAGTCTCCTCTCCTCTTCCCTCCCTTTATAGACTTTTAGTTTCGTCATATTTTAGATGAGAACCATGCTACAGTGTGAAGGTGCATTTGGAGAAGTGTTGAAATGGGCCACGGTGTGCTGATAACAGGACAGCAATAGAAAACAGTCTACATGGTCATAAGTCAGTCTCTATCTGGACTCTCTGTATGTGTCTCCACTTATGTCTCAGTCTCAATATATCACCTCCTCCATGTCTCATGGAAATGGTCTTCTCTCTGTCTTGGCATGCCTGTCTGTTAGTGTTGGGTAGTATTGACAGAGTTAGTTCTGTCTTGGCATGCCTGTCTGTTAGTGTTGGGTAGTATTGACAGAGTTAGTTCTGTCTTTGCATGTGTCTGTCAGTGTTGGGTAGTATTGACAGAGTTAGTTCTGTCTTGGCATGCCTGTCTGTTAGTGTTGGGTAGTGTTGACAGAGTTAGTTCAGTCTTTTGGCTGTCTTTAGCATAGGTTGTCTCTGTAATTACATGGAGTGAGTGGGTGGTAGGATCTGTGTGCCCCCCTCAGGATGAAAGCACTGTGTCCCCCTCTAAAGGCTCCCCCTGGTCAGGATGACAGGGCAGAGACATCAGTGTTCCTGAGGCCCCTGAGTAATGATGGAGTCCACAGGGCTCTGGTGATTACATGCTCCAGTGTGAAGTCTTCCCTATGTACAGATCTAGGATCAGCTTTCCCTCCCCCAATCCTAACCTTAACAATTAGTGGGGAAAATGTAAAACAGACCCAAGATCAGCGTCTAAGGGCAACTTCACCCGACACCTGATTACACAGGAGGAGGGCATACCTGGAGAGAGAGAGAGAGAAGCAAAGAAAGAGGTAGAGTGAAGGAGAGGAAGAAAAGGAAAGAGAGGGAAGGGAGAGAGAAGGGGAGAGAGGTGAAGAGAGTGCAGAGTAAGGGAGAGAGAAGGGGAGAGAGGGGAAGAGAGTGCAGAGTAAGGGAGAGAGAAGGGGAGAGAGGGGAAGAGAGAGTGACAGAGTGAGAGGAGAGAGTGAGAGAAGGGGAGAGAGGGGAAGAGAGTGCAGAGTAAGGGAGAGAGGAAGGGGAGAGAGGGTGAAGAGAGAGTGAAGAGTAAGGGAGAGAAGGGGAGAGAGGTGAGAGAGTGCAGAGTAGGAGAGAGAGAGATGAAGAGAGTGCAGAGTAAGGGAGAGAGAAGGGGGAGAGAGGTGAAGAGAGTGCAGAGTAAGGGAGAGAGAAGGGGAGGGAGTAGAGGTGAAGAGAGGGAGAAGTAAGGGGAGGGAGAGAGTAAGTGGAGAGAGAGGAAGAGAGGGGTGCAAGAGTAAGGGAGAGAGAAGGGGAGAGAGGGGAAGAGAGTGCAGAGTAAGGGAGAGAGAAGGGGAGAGAGAGGAAGAGAGTGCAGAGTAAGGGAGAGAGAAGGGGAGAGAGAGAAGGGGAGAAAAAAAGACAGACTAAGTGACAAAGAGGGGGCGAGAGGAAGAAGAGGATCTACCAAGAAAATGAAATAGGGGAATGTGAAAAAGAGGAGAGAGAGAGACCTTTCAGTCGAACTGTTAAAAAGCAGGACAGAAGTTGTACAGAATGTATTTAGTCCCTCCCCCTACTGCCGATTGACAGAACAGGTTGTTGACCCCTTGACCTTTAGTTGATCTAATAGGATGGAACTCACAAGTCATTCACCCAATGAAAGAACAGTACATTTCCATCTGCACACAGAATAACCTTTTCCATATGATCCACCCTCCTGCCAAAGAGAAACATCTAAATTCCCAGACCACCAGACAAACAGACATACAAGGATGTAGACTCTGCACACCCAAACGCGTGCTCGTGCACACGCACACACACACAGAGAGAGAGAGAGAGAGCGCTCGACCCACGCATCCTCCTCAGGAATGTTCCTGCATTCCTTCCCCCTCTAGAAGCCATGCAGTGCTGTAAGTAGGAAGAGGGCAAGTGCTTGCTTGTAACCAACACCCCCTAACACATACACACACACACACACACAAACACAGTCCAGGGTCATGACATGGCCAGACACACTCCCTTCCCCACTACACCCAACAAGGCTATTATGACCTGTTCTTCTCAACTCTGGGTACTCTTTGTACTCTTCACAGTAATCAATGTTAGTATCCTCTGTTTGTACAGATGTGATTAATGGTGTTGGTTTTGGGAGATATTCAGGGTACCATGCCTGGATTGCTGGTCTGAAAACATTCATATTTTTGTTTTTGCAGTCAGTGATGTGTGGAGTCTGGACTCATGTTGTGTCTGGATAGACTGGGGCTCACTGAGACGGAATGATGCTGCACTCTGCTGGAGGTTTAGAAGTACAGCACTTCAGTCTCTTGCGCGCTCTCCGTGTTCAACTTCAATTTCAATTTAAGGGGCTTTATTGGCATGGGAAACATGTTTACATTGCCAAAGCAAGTGAAATAGATAAACAAAAGTGAAACAGTAACAGTAAACATTACACTCACAAATACATTTCAAATGTCATATTTTGTCTATATACAGTGTTGTAACGATGTGCAAATAGATAAAGTACAAAAGGGAAAATAAATATAAATATGGGTTGTATTTACAATGGTGTTTGTTCTTCACTGGTTGCCCTTTTCTTGTGGCAACAGGTCACACATTTTGCTGCTGTGATGGCACAATGTGGTATTTCACCCAATAGATATGGGAGTTTATCAAAATTGGATTTGTTTTTGAATTCTTTGTGGGTCTGTGTAATCTGAGGGAAATATGTGTCTCTAATATGGTCATACATTTGGCAGGAGGTTAGGAAGTGCAGCTCAGTTTCCACCTCATTTTGTGGGCAGTGTGCACATAGCCTGTCTTCTCTTGAGAGCCAGGTCTGCCTACTCCGGCTTTTCTCAATATCAAGGCTATGCTCACTGAGTCTGTAGATAGTCAAAGCTTTCCTTAATTTTGGGTCAGTCACAGTGGGTCAATCACAATGTGTCAAGTAATTATCTTTTTGTTTTCTCATGATTTGGTTGGGTCTAATTGTGTTGCTGTCCTGGGGCTCTGTTTGTGTTTGTGAACAGAGCCCCAGGACCAGCTTGCTTAGGGGACACTTCTACAGGTTCATCTCTCTGTAAGTGATGGCTTTGTTATGGAAGCTTTGGGAATCGCTTCCTTTTAGGTGGTTGTAGAATTTAACGACTTCTGGATTTTGATCATTAGCGGGTATCAGCCTAATTCTGCTCTGCATGCATTATTTGGTGTTTTACGTTGTACACAGGCGATATTTTAGCAGAATTCTGCATGCAGAGTCTCAATTTGGTGTTTGTCCCATTTTGTGAATTCTTGGTTGGTGAGCGGACCCCAGACCTCACAACCGTAAAGGTCAATGGGTTCTATAACTGATTCAAGTATTTTTAGCCAGATCCTAATTGTTATGTCGAATTTGATGTTCCGTTTGATGGCGTAGAAGGCCCTTGTCTCTCAGATCGTTCACAGCTTTGTGGAAGTTACCTGTGGCGCTGATGTTTAGGCTGAGGTATGTATAGTTTTTTGTGTGCTCTAGGGCAACGGTGTCTAGATGGAATTTGTATTTGTGGTCCTGGCAACTGGACCTTTTTTGGAACACAATTATTTTTGTCTTACTGAGATTCACTGTCAGGGCCCAAATCTAACAGAATCTATGCAGAATATCTAGGTGCTGCTGTAGGCCCTCCTTGGTTGGGGACTGAAGCACCAGATCATTAGCAAACAGTATACATTTTACTTCAGATTCTAGTAGGGTGAGGCCAGGTGCTGCAGACTGTTCTAGTGCCCTCACCAATTCGTTGATATGTACACTGCATTCGGAAAGTATTCAGACCCCTTCCGTTTTTCAACATTTTGTTACGTTATAGCCTTATTCTAAAATGGATTGAATACATATTTTTCTACACACAATACCCCATAATGACAAAGTCAAAACAGGTTTTTAGATTTTTTGCAAATGTATAAAATAAAATAAAACTAAAATATCACATTTTCTTAAGTATTCAGACCCTTTGCTATGAGACTCGAAAATTAAGCTCAGGTGCATCCTGTTTCCATTGATCATCCTTGAGATGTTTCTACAACTTGATTGGAGTCCACCTGTGGTAAATTCAATTGATTGGACATGATTTGGAAAGGCACACAACTGTCTATATAAGGAAATTGTCCGTAGAGCACCGAGACAGGATTGTGTCGAGGCACAGATCTGGGAAAGGGTACCAAAAAATGTCTGCAGCATTGAAGGTCCCCAAGAA